CAATCACCGTCACTTATGGAGGCAGCTCAGCGAATGCCGATGCCAATACATATGTTTAGACCAAAAAACGCAGTCCGAGTTGTGACGTTAAGCAATGCAAAACGCCACGTTTTTGGTCTAAACATATGGTTCGGCATCGTTATTCGCTGAGCTGCCTCCGTAAGTTGCTGTGATTGGCTCTCAGAGTTTTGTGCGGGAAAGAAGACGCACGGGCTTTTTTTAGAGTGTAAGCACTGAAATAACGACCTATGTCCGTACTCCGAGGATATCAGATGGGAGCATAGTTCAAAACAGGAGTATAATTCTTTATAGCAGCCTATCGAGAAAAGTAACCGCGTTGACTAATCCGCATGCGCGCTTCGCGTCATACTTATCTAGTGTTAAAAAAAAAAAAAAAAAAGGTTTGTGTAGGCTGCCTTAAGGGGCGAGGAGTCTCCCAGCTGTAGATGAGCAATTTAGCCAGTGCAGTACAACCACTAGCCTGGGGTCTTTAACGTGCATCACGCAGTAGCGATACACGACCGCACGCCGGTACGATGCTCATTCAGAATTCCATATCAAAACGGGCAGGGGTGGGGATTGGAATTTATCTAGTGTTGATTTAACACGAACATGGCGCTTTGAAGCAAACATCATTATGCACTGTTTTATTATAGACATCAAAGTTTTGTTATAAGTAATATTTTGAAAACAATTAAGGAACTAATTGCAGTGGTGTGATCGGTACGAGTTATTTTGTAGTAGCCTTTGCAGCAGCACAAAGTCCAATTTGGAGCAGCAAAAAATAACCTTTGGAGCGCTAGCATTTAGTTAATTCTCATTCATTTTATTGCGAACACTGTGTAAAGATTCACGCGGCGGCTTGCCTAGCTGAAATACAATGATTTATTTGGTTACGTGGTTATTAATTCCTCAGGAGAGTGACTCAATCAAACACTGAACTACAATCTAATGTCACGACGAGTTATCCTTTTTGTTTAGTAAGCTCTACTGCAGCAGCCGCTTTTGAAAGAGATGCTAATTGTTGAAGAACAGAGCACGGACATCTGTAATACGTTTACGTATAATATCAAAGGCAAATCAAATTGGTTCATACTAAAATGTTGAGTTCGACAAAAAATTCTAACCTTTTGCCCAAGATCTGGAAGTTGAAAATACTAGATGCGGTCAAAAAGATTTTTTTTTCTTTTTCCATTTTGTTATGAACTTTAATGGTACTTCTCGTGTATCTTGTGACAATGTGGAATTAATAAGTGGGCACCAGATTTGTCACTTTAAAAATTCTGCTGAACTCGTTAAGTTTATTCACTATCTCCATTCGTGCACTGGTAAAGCTAATTTATTTTAAAGTCTTACTGACTGCACCATCAAAAAGTTGAAGGCCTAAATAATAGTAGCTAAACGGAAAGAAAAAAAATCAAGGCTATGGTGCAATTTGGGCACTCCTTAACCAGGGTCATTTAACAATCCTGTTGCTGCACCCAAGTTTTCTTAAATCTCTTATTAGAAAAAAAAAAAAAAAAAAAAAGAAAAACGTCACGATTATTGATGCACGCAGCTCGTCAGTAGAGAGGCTTTACACACGCTCCAGATTACAGCCGCCGTTCTTAGCGAGATGCTGAGCCACTAAAGCGAGCCTCGACGAGCCTCCACAGAGGCCTATGCTGGGGAGAAGGACACAGCATGACCTAAAATGGCAATATAACCTGTCCTGCTGTGGTCGTGATGAAGCGAAGCGAACGGATAAAGAGGAAACAAAAGCTGAAGGTCGGTTATGGCGGCGTCCATGCACAGCAACACCAACCTGGTCACGGTTCTATTTTTACAATTTTACTTGCAAAGTTGTCAAGTCAATATTTTTGAAATGTTCTTTTTTTTTCAAATACCCGACGGTGTTTTTTAGTGCATGCCCAAAACAGCCTACTAAACTCTTCAGGGATACTACAACTAAATTTTGGCCCTTATTTTTTGGTCTCTATGTGTTCAAAGGAGCAGTATCACATCGAACACAACAATATCTTGTTAAAAAAGTCATGAAAAGGAATTTTAAAACGAATTAAACGATTAGCAAAGACCACCTGGTGGATGTCGATAACGCCTCGTTTAAGAACGAAGGGCGAGGGTAAGACGGGCCGGGGAGGAGGAAGCAGACGGAAGGCTGGAGGAGAGGGAGGGAAACCTCCTTCTCTCTTTAGCGTTCCGTCTGCTTCCTCCTCCCCGGCCCGTCTTACCCTCGCCCTTCGTTCTTAGGTTGCAACGGACTATAGACCTTTTCTGTGTACTCTTGTCTCCAGCCACCTAACAGACGTATCCGGTATGGGCGACGAAAAAATAATCCAACGTTTCAACCTGCAAATAGTAAAAAAATAAAGGGGAGGCAAACCGAGAAAGTGTGACGGTTACGCTTATATCCTAAATGCCTTCTATTGGCGTGGCAAAAACAAAACAATGTTTTCGCCCATACTGGAAGTGACGTCAATTCAAGATGGCGGCGCACTTGCAGAAAAGGTGTATAGGAACCTTGAGAGGTAATGACGGTAACTGTCTCGCCTCCGGCCACGACGAGAGAAGAGGGGAAGGAAAACTCTCCTCTTCCCGAGAATCCCTTCTGTGCGACCCAGAAGTCGCTATTGTCCCTCCACAAGATGATAGAAGATAACCCGTCGCTCGAAATTCGTGCAAAAGCAGCCGCTTCGGTGGCTAGAGCGACTAGGCTATCCTCTCGAAGTCAGCCTCGCCGTAGCTTCGCTCGTCCCGAGACGAACTACGTCACGATTGCGTTGGATGTCACGTGCCCTCCGCTGGCTGTTCTCCGAGCGCATGCGAGTGGGCCGTTTATAACGAAAAATACAGCCACCAAGCTCAAAATACAAACGTGCGATGGTCATTACAGATATTGTGGATCATATTCAACCTATTTCTTAACATGACGGGTATTTTTCAAATTTCATTAAAGTATCCCTAAGTTCAGGGCCGTAACCAGGGGGAGGGGTTAGGGGGTTCTGACCCCCCCCCCCGAAACTTTTTTCTGGGTACGGCCCTGGTCGGTGCACTTGCAGCCAGCCGATTTTAATCTCCACCTCTGCGCACGCGCAGTGGTGTCGGTCGGCTACCGGGTACCAAACCGGGACCGGTTCTCCGGTTTGCTGTAACTCTCCATTATGTGCCACCGATGCACATGATTCATAGGCGAAAATAAGACAATAGACACCTGCCTACGTTGATAGCGCGGCGTCGCTCGTTGTTGGACCAGTCATAGGCCCATACCCAAACGCAGACAGCGAGGTATGGTGATGAAAGCAGTGATGGAAGCGGCATTTGACCTTTTGTAGCAGGCAAAAGATTGGTTTAGAACAGATGACAATGTCTGTTAGCACAGCACTTAAAAATGAAAAAAAGTGATTGCATCTGAATCAATTCATTTATGATAGCGATGAATGGTTCCTTTTTGAAACTCGATCATATTACCTACTTATTACCGTTTGCGATGAAAAATAGATGGGGCACAAAAGGAACACACTCTTCCTAAATAATGTTATAGTCAGAGTAGGTTTCATTTACAAGGGATATTAAAAAGAAATGGTTGAAAAGTGAATTATGGCACAAAACTTCATCGGAATAAATCCTCTTTCACCACTTCAATTTACACACGGTTGTTTGTTTAGCCTGTAAATATAATTTCTGTAAAATGCCAGCAAGAGCCAGCATATCCAAAACACATCTATCAATAAAAATGCGTCCAGTAAGTTTAATGAACCTACTAAATTCAAGACTCTATCACCGAAACTGCAAAAATTACCACCCAAAAATATCATAAGGGCGTACACTAGACACTGCTCTTAGCGGCGTAGGAACCAGGGTTCCGTCAAAGTTCGCTACTTCCAATCAACAGCTGCTCGGGAACTACCGTGACTACCATTTTTCTCTTTCTCTGCAGATTTTTTTTTTTTTAATTACAGATTAATTTACAATTACGACAAAAAAATTCGGCTTGTAATAATCCTGAGCATAACTGGCGCGCGCTAAGCTAGGCGCTCTCCCAGGTCGGTCGCTGCTCCTAACAGTCCGGTGAAAAGCGGTGAAGCTCGACGCGAACAGCGCAAGTGCCGCGGTACTCAGCAGCAGTCACGAACGTAGGCATGTGGCGGACACGATAATCGAGTGATCTTACCGGGAGTATAAGACCCAGTCTGTTTTATCACAGTAGCCGCAATCGGCAATCCAACTATTTTGCAAAGTTTTCTCAGGATCCTTAGTCCCCGACATCGACGACATCGTCGATGTCGGGGAAATTTTCCCCGACATCGACGATGTCGGGGAAATTCGTCAGGGCACTGCCTTCGACAGTGCCCTGACGTAAGACGAAACAAACTGTACAGTAAGTAGAGACGCTGTGTTATTCATAATTGTACGATTTTTTTCCTTCTACTTCTCTGAATATTAGAGTCTACCAATAATAAAACATTGACTTTTATTTCTTTAAGCCCATCTCGGTGCAGATGTAGCAGACTTTCGTTCATGGCGCACTTTGGCGCAAATGGCGCAGCACTTCCATCACAGTCAGAAAGGGAGGCACTTGATTTCATTTCGTTTATTTGGCTCAGGAAAGTCGGGAGCCCGCCGCACTGTCAGCGCATATGCTCAATCCCCCTCCCGAGGAGCGTGCCCACGTCCCTTAGCAAGCGACCGAGCGACGTCGAAGGGAGATGCAAAAGCGCAATGCCTACACCACGGATGTCGCGTCTCCGCAGTGCGTTAGTGCGCGGTGAGGAGCGCAGTCAACGAGGCCAACTAGCCCGCCTCAACAGACCACGGACAATGAGAAGTATGGCGGGGAACTCTTGAGTACTGTCTCAGTATTCGATAACGAAGATAATCAGAATATTGCCCGTCCCACCGCCCGCACGCACGCACGCACGGTTGCACGGACACACACACACAACAAAAAAAAAAAAAGAGAAATACATCATCTGCTTTGTGAATAGAAAGTCCAGAAACTGTTGACTGCTGGCCACACAAGTAGCAAGTAAAATTTTAATGTTGCAATAAAACAGGCACAGAATTGAGTTTCAAGTACAGTCTGCATTGAAGGTCTGCTGTGCCATCTATCATATCAGTTTTACATCGATTAAGCACCAGTACATCCCAGATTTATGTACAGTGAATGCAATCCTTAATTATGTATAAACTGGCTTAATCACTGGATTCATCTGCAGCCTAATGCAAAACTCAACCCCTTTGAACAAATTAGCCTCAATTGAACAACAGCTTATTGGAGGCTGCAATAAAGACAATGCCAGAACATTACTTTGGTAGTACTATTATAAATTATTTGCACCCGAGGTACTTTTTTTTTTTTTTAAATCACTGCCAGTGGCTTAGCAAAGGGAAGGATAAAAGGTTTGTGTGAAACCTAATATTTATTACAATTTATTTTGAAAAATACGATACTTCTCTACAGCAAAGCAGGTAGACATAGGATCAATAATAATGTTCCCATTAGGGCTAATTGGCTCAAGTGCCTACCATAGAACAGTGACTGCACTGCCACTAATCATCACAATTTCAATATGCGTGGACAGTTCCTGCTATTTTGTTTCACAAAACTATCCATGCAACTTTACTGTTAAGGCACATGCAAGTTAACAATGCAAAAGTAAACAGCTTCATCAGATAGACGCCAATTACAGATAAACAAAAATGCATCCCAGTAACACTGCTGACAACAAACATTCACACTCTTGTTCATATATAAAAGGAGCAAAAAAAATTTATAACTGTTAACTTGCTCTTACAGGAGTGAAACATCAGTGCCAAAACATTTCCACTTTTACTCCTCCCATGCCAACTAAACACAAACACACTATATTGCTTCCTTGTAAGTGAAGATAATCCAGTCCACTAAAAGTTGTTTCCAAGCAAGCCTTCCGTATCTACAGAGTCCTTAAAACTTTTCAACATACCCAAATAAATAGCATGCAACAAAGCTTCCCTCTATAGGTCTTTGTTGGGATTGAAAAGAATCAGGTTCTGCTGACTCCACGGAATCCCAGAACACTTATACACAATGGTCCAGATGTAAGGAATGAAAAACTCTTCAGGCTGAGACTCCTCCACATATCGAAACTTGAGATCTGGAAACTTCTGCAAGAAAGGAAAAACAAATGGTTTTTCTCTCATCACAGCATTCACTACCAGGTGGGAGACTTTTGCTTCAAAGCATGTTTTAAGAAATAAGCAATTTTTGACAAAAAAACAATTTATGTTTAGAAAAAGATATGTAACAAAAAATTTCCGAAAAGTTTTCGTCCATTTTATTTTATTATTGAGATGGATTTAACAAAAGTAGTTCTTTAAAGTTTAGTGCTAGGGAATCAAAACGAGAAGCCCATGGCAATGTTAACTCATTAATTATCTAACTAAATAATTAGCCTACCTTAAAATACCTAGGGGGTGCCCACTCCACTTTTTCTAAAAACTTGATTAAAGGGAAACTGCAGCGGTTCTGTATTTGAAGAAAAACACCTAAATTGTCTTCATGTGGCCTCCAGGATCACGAATATTGAGATTATATTTCAGTGTGGTGCACAAAGGCTGCAGAAATTACTTCTCAAAGTACCGCTGAAGCCTCTCCCTTCCCGGGGCGTGACGTCATACTAAGAGTTTTCAGAATCTACACTCTCGTGCATCTTCAGCGCCTGTCAAAGCTATGCACGTGCACTTTTGCCATTTTCAAAAAGGTCAGAAAGAGACGTCACGACTGGTGTCAGTGCGGGGGAATATATCTGGCAAGCTTGCAACTGCACGCGCTGCCCACACGAGCAACATGTGCTGGCAGCCTAAAGATCCTAGTATGATGTCACGACTGGTCGGAGGTTTTTCGTGTTTTCTCTGCTAAATTCCGTGCTAAATTTAGCGGACAATTTGTTCCGCTAAATTTAGTGAGAAAAAATTTGCACTAAATTTAGAAAAAAAATTTTCCCCTAAATTTATTGGGGCAATTTTTCCAGCGAGGAACTTTTTCCACTAAATTCGGTGGGGAATTTTTTTTGCTAAATATAGCCGGGAATTGTTCCGCTAAATTTAGTGGGGAATTTTTTTCCACTAAATTTAGCAGAAAAAGTTTCCCGCAAACTTGTCAAAAAAATGTTTTCTGCTAAACTCAGCAGAAATTTTTTTCCGCTAAATTTAGAGGGGAAAATTTTTCCACTAAACTTAGCAAAAAAAATTTTTCTGCTAAACTCAGCGGAAACTCTTTTTCCGCTAAATTTAGCAGAAAAATTTCCCCACTAAATTTAACTGAAAAAATTCCCCGCTAAATTTAGCAAGGAAATTTTTCTTTAAATTTGGGGGGGAATTTTTTTTCGCTAGACTTTTTCCGCTAAATATAGCAGGGAAATTTTTCTGCTAAATTTAGCGGGGAAATTTTCCCCCAAATTTGGCGGGGAATTTTTTCCGCTAGACTATTTCCACTAAATATGGCAGGGAAATTTTTCCGCTAAATATAGCGGGGAAATTTTTCCGCTGAATATAGCGGGGAAATTTTTCTGCTGAATATAGCGGGGAAATTTTCCCCTAAATTTGGCGGGGAATTTATTCCGCTTGACTTTTTCCACTAAATATAGCGGGGAAATTTTCCCGCTACATTTAGCAAGGAAAGTTTTCCGCTAAATTTAGCGGGGAACTTTTCCCCTAAATTTGGCGGGAAATTTTTTCCGCTAAATATAGCGGGGAAGTTTTCCCGCTAAATTCAGCAAGGAAAATGTTTTCCCTAAATTTGGTGGGGAATTTTTTCTGCTAGACTTTTTCCGCTAAATATAGCGAGGAAATTTTTCCGCTAAATTTAGCGGGGAAATTTTTCCGCTAAATTTAGCGGGGAATGTTTTTGATAAATTTAGCGGGGAAATTTGTTTGCTAAATTAAATGGGGAAATTTACCCATAATGCATTCCACTGTGACGTCACGTGTGATGTCATTAGGGGAAACGTCCCATAATGCAACGCGCAATTACGCCGACGCTGCTCAAGCCGGAAACGGGCACCTAAGAGCTGCGCTCTAAAAAACAAGACAACGAGACACGCAAGTGAACACTCTAGTGAACACCATGGGCCGGGAGGCCGAGGACATCCTGGCCTTACTGAAACTAACACACACAGAGAAGCAAGACTACGATGCTGTGACACGAGCGCTTGGAAAGCACTTGATGCCAAGAATGTATGTGATCTAAGAGTGGGCAAAGTTCAACAGCCAAAAACAAGAGGAACATGAACCTTTGTTACAGATCTCTATAAGATTGCCAAAACGTGCAAATACGGGGAACTGAAAGAATTGACCAGGGATCGACTCGTCGTTGGACTGATCGACGTCAAGCTGAGCGAAAGACTTCAGCTGAACTCTGAACTGACATTAGAGAATGCTATTTTGACGGCGCTTAATTCTGAGGTGGTCAAGTAGTAACAAAAGGAGATCCGCAGAAGCGAACAAGTGATCCCAACGCTCGATGAAGTCTAGAAAAATCGCCTCAAGGAAGCAAGAAAACCGCACATGTGAACATCCCACCAGCACAAGAACAAGACCAAAGCAGGACACTGCAGGTGGTGCGGCGACGCACGCGACCACACAAAAGTGCATTGCCCGGCTTCAAACAAGACATGCAACCACTGCGGGAAAAAGGGCTACTTCAAAGCGTGCCTGTCACAAAAGGGCAAGCAAGAAACACGAACACACTTCGCAGCAAGGGTATCGAGGAAGTTTACCTCGGTGAGGTCAAAACCCGATCAACCACGGAACCCTGGAGTGTCACTGTCAATGTCAACGGCTTACCTCTCATGTTCAAAGTCGACACTGGTGCAGACATAACTCCAATTGCACTCAACGACTAGGAAAAGGAGACCATGTGACCTCTAAAGATCTCAGCACACACACTGACTGGCCCAGGTCAAACACCAATTGTGACAGTGGGGTATTTCAAAGCCACAATTGACCGGCGTGGTACAAGCAGACAAGACAATGCCTTGGTCATCAAAGGACTGGGAGGCACTGCTAAGCCAACAAGCAGTAGGGTCTCTTAGCATGCCATAGTGCCCACTTGAGCTTGGGGAGACATGTGCGTGATGAAGCTATATCTTCTATCTTCTGGCTCAGTATTCTAAGTTGACATCTGGACTCAGACACATGAAGACTGAATACCGCATCGAAGTGAAGGACGATGCCAAGCTTTACGCCATCACAAATCCAAGGCAAGTTCCTCTTTCATTGCTCCCACATGCAGAGAAGGAATTGGAAAGAATGCAAGACATAGGAGTCATCCAGAAGGTGGAAAAAGCAACAGAGTGGTGCTTTCCGATGGTCGTCGCCAAGAAAAAGAACAGTGAGCTAAGAATTTATGTCGACTATGGTCAACTAAACTGACAGGTGGTCCGTGAATGCATGCTGATGACAACAATCGACGAGTGCCTCGCCAAACTAGTCGGTGCAACAGTGTTCAGCTGCCTAGATGCTCCAGCCGGGTACTGGCAGGTGCCCCTCGCCGAAGACTCTCGAAAGTACATAACCAGGGTGTCTAGCAAATTATTATTTTGAAATTCCCTGACTTTTCCAGGTTTTCCCTGATAATTTCAGGTGAAATTCCCTGAACACGGTAGAGGCGGTTAAATATATAAGACCATTACAACACAAGGCATTGAGCATCGAGCACTGTGAGGATCATTTTGCACGGGCTTAATCCAACTTGCACATTCCAAAATATTCGGGTTCCTCCAGTCCCGATTAAAGGGACACCGACAGGGTATTAATGCTCGCCGAGGCTTTTAGTTGTACATGACACATGAGAGCCCAACTACCCAGAACACAATTTGCGACTCGAAATTCGGTTTCTTTCCGCCCAAAAACCGCCGATCAAGAACTGGCCGGTTCGAGTCTCGCTCACTCTCTTTTCCGTGGTCGCGGGCCGTTTTCTAAGGTATCGAAGCAACCACCAAATTTAATGAAAGTCATTCGTCACTGAAGGCACACACTCAGTATTAAAAATAAAAAAAAAAACATGAAACCCATTTTTTGTGGCTTATAAAAAGCTGCAAATACGCCGATTGGAAAAAAAAAAGTTCCACAGAGAACCGGAAGCATTCTGTGCGTGCGTCGTTTTGCGTATTGTGGGACTCACGGGGACGTGGGACCTCTACTTCAGAACTGTCGTTCGCGGTACCGGCGAATTCTGTCTGCCTTTAAGAGAGGAATTCGGGACTGATAAAAAGAATTGGTAGTCATCCCGTACGACATGCCCGACCACGAAGCCGATTTGCACAAAGACGTTGCCGAGCCGTCGCTCCCTTCTCCTGCCTGAAGACATCGCTCGCGATAACGTCAAGCACCGCACGAAGTGTTTACTTCGAGTCAGGCACGTAGCCAGGATTTTGTTTCGGGGGGGTGGGGCCCACCCCTGACAATATGCTGTATGAGGGGGAGGGGGGAGAGGAGGCCCCAGCAAAATGGAAGACTTCGGAGGGGGCCCGGGCCCCATGGGCCGCCCCCCCGGCTACGTGCCTGCTTCGAGTTGAATATGCACATGTACGATTTCCTTACTCGGTGCGAATGTCGCCAATGCGTCGTGCTTCATGACTTCGCCCCAGAGTGCTTTTGCTGAAGAAAAATTGGCAGCAAACTTTGCAACTTACAGTTTACCGGCTGAATTATTACTAAGGAACAAGATGCCCCAGTAGCTCAGTGGGAAAGACGTCTGCTTCACACGCGTTAGGACCAAAATCAATCCCCAGTGAAGTTTTTTTTTTTTTTTTTTTTGCAAACATTTTTTTGATGTTTACACTTGTTTTTTTTACAATTATCACTGAAGAAACAAAGAAAAAATAACAAATAAATGTTGTGGACGACACGTCGCTGAATTAAATGGTATGGGATTTCCTTTTTGACACCTGCAAACTCAATGTAATCACTTTCCACAAAATGCAAGGAGCATATAAATCAGGTAGCGTCCGCTTTCCGAGGTGCCCGTGAATGTTCTACAAGAATTGCAGCCAGCCATTGGTCCCGATTCCGTTGATCTTTCGGAAACTCTGTCGCACAATGCCACTACTCATCTCCCAACTCAATGTACAAAACAACTCATATTGGAGTACAGAACAGCGAGCGGAACAAACATAACCGCAAAAAAATCGCACGGCAAACAACAGTTCCCGCTTCGCCGCATGTCGTCTGCTTTGCAGAAAAGAAAAAAAAAAACAAAAAAATGCACGGTCAGGTGTAGCCACGTGACTTCCACCACTCACACTCTTCTCTCCCCTTCTCCGGCCTCCGTGCGCGGGTTTCGGTTTCGAGCAGTTGCGTCTTTTGGCTTTATTAAAAAAATATGCTACTCTGTTGCAAAATATTAATTGGGTAGTCCTCCGACACCATAATAAAGCGCCTGGCAAAAAATGAAAAACATTTTTTGGGGGGTGTCAGTGTCCCTTTAAACAAGCACCTTCTTGCCGCCGACATCGTCAGTGAAGAGGCCACTCCCGAAAACATGATAAAACCACTACGCTTAATCAGACACGTCAATAACCAAATGGCAGCATGGTGGGCAGATGTACTTTCGGATACTTTTGACCTGGATTGGATTGGGGTCTGCGACTTTGACATTTGTTACTAAATCTAGTAGCTCTAACTGGATCTAGCTTAGAGTAGCACCCTCAATCTAATCCAATCCAAGGTTGGGACTGGATTTGTCAGCTGTTCCTTTTCCATCGGGTAGCACACTCTATATCAGGTGAGCAGAGCTTGCGTTCCGCTCTAAGCAGTATTTGTTGCCTATTTTTCTGTCCCTAAGTCCTCAAGCCTTTGCTCAGGGCACTTGATGGCGTTTCCGGCTCATTTTCCCTGACTGGGCTCGCTTTGTGGCAATATCCCTGACAATTCTCCGAGTTTTCCCGGTAATTAAAATTTTCCTGACAATTCCCGGTTTTCCCGGTCGCTAGACACCCCGATAACCTTCATCACATCCATTGGATGATTCCAGCTACTCAGACTGCCTTTCAGAATATCATCAGCACCAGGGTTCTACCAACGAGAGATGCGTCAAGTGCTCGAACTGGACGGTCTGGCGTCTTTAAAAATGACATCATCGTTTTTAGATGAACGGTGGAGAAACACAGCAAGAATCTACACAAGGTGTAGAGCCAGTTGGAAGAAGCAGGAGTGACCCTCAACGTCAACAAATGCACCTTTCATGAAAGCAAGGCTAAGTTCCTAGGACACGTGGTATCCGCAGAAGGTGTCATTGCTGATCCAAGCAAGGTGGAAGCCATCACTCAACTGGACCCACCATCAGACGCGTCCGAAGTGAGGTCCTTCCTGGCCTCGACAAATCACCTAATGTCGAGACCAGTTATAACGAAATAGTGGCTACAGCGAAGCGATCACGATTTCCCATTCCATTTGGCACATCGTTAACCGAAGTGGGTTATAACGAAATAGCGGATATACCGAAGGGATTTCCGATTCCCGTTGACTTTGTTACAACTGGTCTCGACAATAGCAAAGTTCCTTTCAGGTCTGGCAGACATGACAAAACCGCTGAGGGACCTGATGCACCAAGACGCAGAGTGGCTTTGGGGTCCGGCTCAGCAACAGAGCTTCGACTGGATCAAGCAGGCACTGAGCACAACCCCAGTTCTCATCCACTACGACTCCCAGCAGCCGCGTACTGTCTCATTCAATGCATCTCACGGGCTAGGAGCCATTCTGCTGCAGCAGGCAGGTGACAGGCTGCTACCAGTGGCATATATATCCCGTTCACTTTTTGAGACAGAACAATGATATGCCCAAATCGAAAAGGAGGCGTTAGCCATCACATGGGCATGTGAACACTTTTGCAGGTACCTCCTTGGATCCACATTCCATGTAGAAACGGATCACAAGTCCCTCGTGCCGCCGCTCACGACCAAGTGACTCGACGAGCTGAGTCCCCGTCTCCAACGCTTTCGGATACGCTTGCTAAAGTATGACTACAGTATGTAGCACACCCCAGGAAACAAGTTGTACACTGCTGATTTACTGTCCCGAAAGCCACAACCAAAGCCAGTCAAAGATGACGAAAGAGACCTTGAAAGCACAGCACAAGAGCATGAGGAGTTGGCACTTGAACAGCTACCTGCATCAAACCAAATGCTGGACAGAATCAGGGCAGGCATCCAAGCAGACCCAACACCTGCCAGAGTGGTTACCTTGTGCACCTCGTCATGGCCGACCGTACATGGGATCGCACCCGAACTAAAGCGCCACGCAGAGGTGGCAAGTAAACATTTCATGGTCGACGGTCTTCTCTTCAAGAGCTACAGACTCGTCATCCCACCAAACCTGGGGCTTGAGGGGCTGGAAAGACTTCATTCTGGCAATATGGGCACAAGCCAATGTCGCGCAAGAGGAAGACAGTTGGTGTGGTGGCCCAGCGTTGGAACACAGGTGCAAGCAAGACTGTTGAAGCATGCTCTGTCTGCAAACAACATCAAAAGCCACCAACTGAGCCACTGCTGTTGACACCTTTGCCTCAAAACCCTTGGGACACCATTGGCATTGACCTCTTCACACTGGAAGGGAGAGACTACTACTCCAGATTCTTCGAGGTGGAGCAACTAAAGGGCACTACAACAGAAGACATTGCTCAGGTCTTGGAACCGACCGCACGATTTGGAGTGCCAAGAACTGTGCGCACAGACAACGGTCCTCAGTTTGCCTCAGCCGAATTCAAGCGTCTAGTGGAACGTTGGGGGGTAAACCATGTAACCTAAGTCTGCACTACACTCAGAGCTATGGCGTGGCAGAGCATGCAGTCCAAACAGCAAAACAACTCCTGCAGAAGTCAAGGGACATAAACCTGGCTCTCCGGGAGTCGAGGGTTTCTCACCCAGTGAGCTGCTAATGGGTCGCCACCTCAGTAAGACTGTGCCAACCACAACCAAGATGCTCACACCTAGGTGGGACGACAGCGACTTCAGGCACAAGAACGAAGCACACAGAACGCAAGTGAAGCAGATCTACAAGGCATGCCACAAAGTGCAAAGTTATGAACACCTGCCGCCAAAGACAATGACGCGCATTCCAAGTAGTGCAGCATCCTACAGTACAGTGAAACAGCCAGTGGCTCAACCAAGGTCCTACGTTCTAAGCACATTGAGAGGACTGACACGACGCACAGAGAAGTACGTGCAGCCGGTAACGGTCATAAGAAGTGAACATTCGTGCAGACCACTGAACCGGTTGGACTTGTAGCTTTCTTCTCCTAAGAAAGGGGGGTGTCGTGAGGCCACATCTAGAGGCGAGCGCCGCGATGCGCCAAATAGGAAAAGGGGCGAACCGAGTCTCGTACACTCGCTACGACGCAAGCCTGTGGTGATGTCGTCCTGTGTCGGTGCTCGTATGTACCATCTCTAATGCCCCAAAGAAACCGTTACTGTTCTACATACCCAACGGCTACGACAGATATGCCAGCGAAGCTACTTCTGAGTATGTATTTTTAGATTTCTTTCAATAAATGAAAAACCGTATTGTAGCCATTAAAAATGGCAGCCATAGCACCAGAGGCTTAAAAAGTCCCAAATCTGGTGCAGAGTTTATACCTTCAGCCTATCTGTCGGCCAGTGTAGCGCTGCCTCCTTGATGGACTCCATCACTTCAGCCACCGAAAGGTTCTTTTCGGGCGAGTCCAGCCGGGACGAGAAGTAAGACAGGACCTGTTCACAAGTCATAGGGAAACGGGAAGGATAATTGAGGGCACAATAATGCAAAGAGAATGCTATAATTCAGTGAAAGAAGGGACATACCGTGTCCAGGTTCTGAACGACGTCTTGGAAGTTGGGGTGCATCCGGAAGGGGTCGAACACCTGCCTCTTGTAGAGCAGCGAGTAGAGCAGGTTGGGGTTACTTTGTAGCTGAGTGCACAGGCAGGAGTTGATGATCTCTAAGATCATGCGAAGTACTTCTTCGAGGATGGACAAATCCTGGAGCTGCGCAAGCCAAGACAAAATGAATATGGCAAAGATAGGCACCTCTTAATACAAATCAGTGTGAAAATCAGTCCATTTCCAGCTGGATTACAAAAGTGGTCTTAGCTGGATCCAGTTGCTTTGTTACTATTCCAGCTGAATTTCGTTGCATAATGACTACTGTAAACTTGCATTAAATCGACCTCGACAAGCACTTAAAATTTTGTCGTTATTTTCAGACTTTAATCACAAAAGGGGCAGGAAAAGGGTCCGAGTCAAGCTCACTTTTATTGAACGAAGAGTTTGCGATCGTTTGCCGCAGTTTGTGCTCAAAAAGCGTTTCTAACAGCGTCCTCTGGAGGGCACCAATATAATGTTCTTTCAGAATTTTCTGTGTGTGAAAAGTAGACCTCTGCAGCCTAAAGATCGGCCTAAACAAAAGACTCAAATGAGATATTTTCGACAGCCTTTCCCTTGCTTTCATCTGCTGTGTCCATCCTACAACTGGTCACGTCGGCCACAATGTCACTGTCCGTAAATGGCCCGCAGCCTTCCGTGCCATTCTGTACATTCACGAAGTCTTCTAACAAGGTACAACGAAGGGCGGGAAGTAAATCAAAGAACTGTTCTGTGCAATTCTGCAGAATCTGTAGTTGTGGCTGGTCCAGTCGAAGCGTGCCAACTACGATGCACCACTCCACTGCCTTGTGTCGCCTTTCCTCTACTCTGCATCAACTTTTCCGTACCACGTGAGGATGGCAGGAATAGTTTCCCCAGTACTGTACACCCGAATGCTGGTGGTGTGCTGCCAAGGTGGGACTACCTGCCAATAGAGCTTCATCGGTGCAAACAAAGCAAAAATGGTTGATTGCACAGTGCCATTGCTAAATTGCAAGCTCGAGCTACAAATAAAAGGAGCCTGGCGCATGTGCCATTAGTAGAGTCGCCTGCACACAAGAGAAAGAAATGGCAGCAATCTTTACCTTTAAAGGGAAACTGAAAGACTTCTTGAGAAAAAACAAGTTAGAGGTGAATTCTCACATATTTCTATCCCATGAATCTGAATATCATGTTCGTATTGCTCGAAGATGTAAACTAAACGCGAAAAAACACGAAAAACCCCTAACCAGTTGCGACGTCATACTAGGATCATTGGGCTGCCGAGTGCGTGTATTTCGTGTGAGTAGCGCATGCAATTGCAAGCTTGCCAGCCATATTCCCTCGCACTGACAGCAGTCACGTCTCTTTCTGACCTTTCTGAAAATAGCAAGAGTGCGCGTGCATAGGTTTCACAGGTGCTGAAAATGCGTGAGAACGGATATTCTAAAAACTATTAATATGTCGTCACGCCCTAAGAAGGCAAGGGAAGGAGGGGCTTCCGCTTGTACTTTGAACATTAATTTCTGCAGCTTCCGTGCACTAAATTGAAAAATAATCTAAATATTCGTGATCCTGGAGGTCAAATGAAGACAATTTAGGCGTTTTTACTCAAATATAAAACTGCTTCAGTGTCCCTTCAAAGTCTTATAATGCATGAATTGCAATATAGAACTTCAGATTTTCGATTTTCCCGTTAAATTTAGCGGGGAAACTACATTGGTATATAGTTCAAGTGACGTCAGCTTACGTGACATCAATTTCCCCGCCAAATTTAGTATGAAAACTGAATTGCTGGATAAGCCATATGGCATCAATTTCCCCACAATATTTACCGGGGAAATCAAATTAGTGCATTACATGCGCCGTCAATTTTTCCTCCAAATATAGCGGGGAAACTAATTGGTCACTATGTCTCAAGACGCCAGGTCACGTTGCATCAAATTTCCTGCCAAATTGTGCGGGGGAAACTGAATTTGAGTATAGTTCACGTGACACCAATTTTCCCACTAAATTTGAGTGGAACATGCATGAACGGATGGACACACGGACGAACAGATGGATGGACAAAATTGGGGGATTGGGGTGGTAGTGTTAAAAAGCATTTCATGCATTAAAAAAATAGTGGAAGCCCAAGCTACTTATATGGTGCCTTGCCTATCTACACACGATTTGCAGTGTAACAAAAGAGCTGGGTTCTGCATTTGTGGAATCTCCATTACAGTGTTGCAGGGCAAAGTGTGCCCAAATGCATAAATGTCCGGTTGAACAACATCATGTGAAGTCCTTCTGCGTTTGAATTAATATATATTTTCCTTCATGGCTGAGACCTTTGAATGAACGTGGTTGATTAAATGAAAAGTCAAACTAACCGAGGTCAAATCAATACAAGCTTATTGTACACAGAAAACTGTGGGGTGCTAGAGAGGTTCACGAAAGTGAGCAGTAACTTTCACACTAGTTTACACCAAACAACTAAATCCAAAAAAGCTTATTATGATAAAAATTTAGATTGCCATAAGCAATAGTGATGATCATACTCTAGCCCTTCTCTAAAAATGAAACAACATAAAATCACTTTTTATCTTCAGTTAACTACAACTGCTTACAATGAGCATTAATTCAATTGGACCTAGCATTTATACTGAGCAAGTACAAATCAGTATTTGTCTACATGTGCTAGTTTGATAAACATGCATTTGTCAGAGTGTCATACCTATTTCTGTTCCTCTCCAACTGCCTAATTTTTTTCACGAGATAAAGAATCATGTCCCTCATTGAAAACAACAAAGCGATATCTTTCTTTTTTTGCTGGACAATGAGTAGTTACTTTAGTCGAGCTTGCAGCAAGTACAAAAAAGGACAACAGTTATGTCTCTTAAATACAAAAACCTCCATTCCCCATATAATTTCCCGTAATGCAAGCTGTCCACAATAATGGGACAAAAAGGCATGCATCTTACCAGTTAGTACCGAAAACTTGAGTCTACATACATACCGTAAAATACCGGGCAAGCACCCACTTAAAATTTAGAGATAATCGCGAAAAAATGGGGGATGGGTGCTTGTCAAGTCATCAATTTTACATATCAATGTACTGTGCATATTTTCTCAGGTCTTACAAATTTGCGAATGGGCGCTTAATGTGGAATAGGTGGATGCTCGGTATTCTACGGTAGCAGGGTGCCCATATCAATGGGAGACATAACTTTATCGAGCATAAGAAAAAACAGAACAGAGAACATGAAAAACCCCTGCAGTAGCTACCTCTGGTATTGCACGCATCACACAAAGATCTCGACAGCAGCCTATTGAGATAAGAACGTGACAGAGGAAAGGGACATAGAGTGCTCCACTGCCGACTTTTCTTTTTTAAAGCATGGTCTCCTTAAATGACACTGTGCTCCATGATTTTGCTCCTTAATTGCATGCATAGTGTATGTGAGTGCCAGACTTGTTCACAGACACTTCCTCCGCGATGCAAGAGCTATTCTACCCCACGACTGAAATTGCTTTGAGCAGCATTGTTTACAATGACGTTTACTCACGAGATCGGTTGAGAAGTCCTCGTCCGTTGGCTTGAGATCAGGATTGTTCCTTATTTGGTCCATGACTTTCGCTAGTCTCTTGGAGAGTGTCTCAAACAGGCTAAAATAACAAAATAGAAAAGCGATGCTTAGCACACAAGACAGAAGCAAGGATGTTTGCTCCATTAAGATAGCAAATGTGAGTTTGCTTTTTAAGGGAGTACCGTATAAACTGGAATATAGGTCGAACCCCTAATTTACAAGTTGCAAAAAGCGAAAAAAAGTTTTTATGGCAAGAAAATGCCACCTTACCTTGGTAACAAAATTGCCCAAGTGTATGGAAGGACGAGAAAAGACAGCACACTTATTTAATTGCTTTGCACGCAATAAAACAGGAAGTGTGCGAGCGTTACTACTCAGGCTCTTCAGAACCTTCGTCGTATGAGAAGTTTACAAACGCAATCTAAAGGGACAACGCCATCCCTTTGAATTGCGCCCTCGAGAGCCGGAGGCACGAGCGACCTCGTTGCCTTCCGTACGGATGCACTCCGACGTTACAGATAGCAATTTGGCGCGCAGATTCCGAATAAAATTTACCACCTTTGTTTTTGATTCAGGGTACACCGCCGTCCTTCCACAAAATAAAGTTTTCTTCGCATTGCTGCACGCCACCAGTTTTTGTCTCTGCCTCGCCGGTAGCGTATGTTTTTCTCCTATACACCAAACTCTCGCTGCATTGCAAGATTCCCGTGGATCTCTGCATAAGCGACTGCCTCCTTCTTGAAGGCTACCATGAACTGTCTTCTACTTCCGCTCATTATCACTCCGGAAGCGGCAACGGTAGATTTAACAAACCAAGGAGCGCAAGTGAGAGTGAATCGTGACCATCGTGACAAGTGGACGAGTGCTAGGCAATTGCAAAGAAAAGCAACATGGCAGCTTCAGCCAGCCAGTGTTGCGAGATTATTTTTGTTTTTCCGCTAATGACCGTAATATAAGACGAGCGTCAACTTTTTCAGGTCCATTTTCAAAAATAAATTCGACCTATGTTCTGGTTTATACGGTTCTACCATTCAGCCTTTCGTTTATCAGCAATAGACCCTTTCCAAAATTCAGTCTGGCCACTTTGATAACTATCATCAACCGGTGTATGGCATCTGTACGTGCTAATGGTAGCCTTTTTGGTGGCTGATGATGACGCTGAAGTCAGAAATTGATGAGCCCGGACATTCTAGACCTTACCGTCATACACCGAGATAGCCCACCTAAAATCGAAAGCAAATTGGGTGAAAGTAAGCAGTGGGCTAACTTTCCGTGTGCGATCAAAAGAAGTTGAAAACTGCTAGTTTTAGATTCTGCTGTCTGCAAAACCTGTGACTGCAGGGATGGGCGATGAATCAAAAATGATTGTCCTTCCCCGTCAGCAATGTTCGCTTATCTCCCGTCTTTGCTAAGTAACACCATTTCCGCCAAGGTCACCATTGGCCAAGGCTCCGCAATTACTAGAAGTGGGCTATCTTTTGGCACTTTTAAAAGAAACAGCAAATAGTCATAAATGGGGGGCGGGTTATTGTTCAGGGGTGGGGGCATCTCTCAGAACAATACATTAGTCCACTATTCCGTTGTTTGATGCAAGCATGGTGAGACTTACGAGTACTTGTGCACAACACATTTGAGGGTGCCCTGCAAATCCTCGGAACGAATGCCTTCGAAACGCCCCACACAGCCCATAACAGTCAAACGGTAGACAGTAAGTGGATGAACGTTAGCATTCTTTTTGGGTTCACATATAATAAATCAGTTGGAACACACTCGGCACTGCCCCTCGTGATGGACAATTTGCGAGTCTCATTGCAAAGCCTCCGATGCAATTCTGGACAGCTAGATTACACACCCTAGATTCAATTTCTGTATAGTAGTTCTATCTTTCTTCCCACGAGATGAAGATTTATCGCGATCAAACACGCAGTCGAGACAGCGCTCCGGATTGCAAACATGGTGTCTTCATCGCACCTTCTCCGAAAGCATATAAAGTTTTGTGATTCGAGTGCATCTGCGGTCGACTTTGTTGACGACAGCAGCATGAGGGAGTTGAAAGATGATGTCGGATCCTCAAATTTTGGTTGTTCAGGGGTCAAAAGGTATTATACTTGCGATGAAAAGACCGGCACATCACACACATGATGAGCACTGTACATGCTGTCAACAAGCACGTGCTTGCGAAACGGAGGAAAGAAAAAGCGGAGATGTATGGTCACAGATCTCCATCAAGAAGCCGCAGCTTGTTGACGACCACAACGCAGGAATGCTTGGAGGGTAAAAATCTGACCAGTCGATTGGATCATAAAAAATTCCGATAAGGTGCATCCGTTGGTGGAAGGCTCTCTTCTTTCACTGCATTGGCATCTCAGCTGTCAACAGCTATAATCTTTTTCAAGCACACAGCAAGCCGCACCCGAAAATTCCTGAACTCTACAGAAATTTGCGTTTTGATCAGCTGTCGTTACGAACGGAGCTCGCCCAACAGCTTCTTGGACGTGATGTAGAGTATGTCCCGCCCCCTCCGGCCCCTGAACAACTGCATCACAAGCCCCAGGAAATGGAGAAGTGGCACAACTGCAAGACGTGTTATGAGGAGTGCCTGCAAAGTTGGACAAAGACATGTCTTCCGCAGTACCTGCGATAGTTACCCGTGCTTTACCGCGTTCAGAAACTGTTCCACCACATGGCATGCACGCCATGACAGTTGAGACTATGCAGTAGAACTTGGTGAGTTTTTTTTTATCTATGGCAATGCAATTTGCAGTCTTTCTTGCTATTAAAATTTGGCATATTTCATATACTTAAACAATTTCCAACTGTCATTTCTTGGTGAGATATTTGCATATCTTTTTCATTTTTGTTGTGCTGGACACAATGATTTTAATTTTCAGAAGTTAGATTAAGTATATTGTGATATCCCAAGGGATGCCCCATCCCCGAAATATAATCCACCCATACATTTGGCATGACTTGCTAATTTTCAAAAACAAGATAGCCCAGTTCTAATAATTGCAGGGCCCTGGTTAATGATGACCTCGGCAGAAATCTGTTACTTAGCCACGGCGTGAGGTACACAAACATTGCTGACTGGGAACGACAGTCGATTTAGGTTCATCACTTTTCCCCGTGATCACAATTGTCGCCAGTCAAAGAATCTAAAACTAGCACTTTTTAACCTTTTTTTTTAATCACACATTGAAAGTTAGCTTGCTCCTTATTTTCACCTGATTCGCTTTCAATTTAAGGTAGGCCATCTTTTGGGGTATTACACTAATTTATTACTCATATCTTAAACTTACGAGGGGGATCCCAAAAGTATCCTGAATTTGTGGGGATGGGCCGTTCGTAGTACCAGCTTCCGCTGCTAGCAGCGCTTAGAGGCACCCCCTTCCGAGCCAGCTTGCCGATCAGCGTCGTCCGCTAAAGTTCTAGCAGCATGGTGTATACTTTTTTTGTAAGTGCTCCAAGCTCGCTCTTTGTTTTTTGCAATGTTTGATTTAAAGGACATTCCACATCCACAAAATTTTTTTTTTTTCGTTTCGGGACTCTTTTTATATGGGCAAACAGAAAAAAGACACACTGGGGAGGAGGGGGTGGAAAAGCGGTCATGGCATTTTTGTTAAAAAAAAGTAGTACTGACAGGGCAGTATGTGCTGAGGCATTGTTGTGATGGAACCACCACTTCCCCTTCACCACAAACCAGGCGTCTATGCCTCACTGAGTCGCGCAGGCATTGCAGATCTCCCAGGTAAAACAGTTGAGTTTCACCGGGAGGAATTAACTCGAAGTGAGCAATGCCCGAATTTTCTCAATGTTTTCATCAGTTGAGGAGATCGAGAGTCACGCCGAATCCCCAGGTTGGTCATCGATCAATAATTCACCGGCCCTGAAGCGAGAAAAGCACTCGTAGACCCCCAATTTCTTTATAGCGAGAATTTCACGGCCGCACTCTGTTTTTTAATTCAGACAGTGCAAAAAACAAGGAATGATTTTGAACCGCTTGGAGAAAAAAGTCACAACATACCGCTAGAACTTTAGCAATGACGCCGGTCGACAAACTGGCTCGGAAGGGGTGCTGCTAAGCACTGCTAGCAGCGGAAGCTGGTACTACGAACGGTCCATCCTCTGAGGAATTCATTCCAGTTACTTTTGAGTTCCCCATTGTATATTATTTATAGTGCTACATTTTGATATACCGTATTTACTCGCATAATGATCGCACCCCCAACACGGGTACTGATATTTGGATTTTTTTTCCCCATGTGCAATGCACGCATCTTCAATTTTCGGCTCCGCGAGTCTTGAATCACGTCCAACTTAGCTAGCCACCAAGGCCACCAAGCCTATTTTCTTTTGCCACTAAGCGGTCAGGCCAAGTCAAGCCAAGCCAAGCCGCTCTCGTAATGGCTGCAAGTGCGTAGTTGCGGAAGTGATCTACCGAGAAACCGAGCGGCGCGCACACTTGACGAAGCTTGGGTCGAGGAATTACCCAGCCCCGGACATTCTTTGCCTATCGGATGCATTGATGTCAATGAACATGCCGTCGTCTGTGGTACGCTTTCGGACAGTGAAATCGTGGAAGTGGTTAGGCCCAAGGACGGTCGCGTTGCTCTCTATGCTGAGTGAGCTTCGTAGGGTGCTTTTCCTTCGGCAAAGGGCACGCCAAAAGTGCCCTAAAAAGGTTCGCAATTTATAAAGCATGGTCACTGTGGCACGCCCCGACTAGCCATGGGTGTGCCTCCACCAGTGGAGACGTGCCACAGTACCTTGCCATGCCATATTGGCACCTAATATGACATTTGCACGAAGTGTGTTAATGCCAAACGTTTAAAGCTGAGTAACGCTGATTCTTGGGCGAGTTGGTGCTGAAACTTTGAGAACATGAGAGTGCTTCAAAACAGGGGTGAGAGTAAGAATGAGACAACACAATCTGAAGGAATTGAAGTTAGCACATTGTGTTGTCTCTTTCTTACTCTCGTCCCTTTCTTGAAGCACTATCATGTTCACAAAAATTTTACTCCGCGTAATGAATGCAACCCCCAAATCTGTGTCAATTTTTGGGAAGAAAAGTGTGTTCATGATGCAAGTAAATACGGTATTTCAAAAAATTTTAAAGCACATATCTTTCAGAAAAGAAGAATACCGAGACCCTCCAAAGATGGGCATTTTTCTCGTGGTAAAAAAAAGGTTAAGTCGGGTAAGTGCCTCGTACAGAAGGGTGTCTTCTTATCAACATCGAAACTGAAAGGAATTGAGAGAGAACTGTGCGGCAAAGCACACTGTCACTTTCATGTGCCTGTTGTTGAAACAAGGAAATGATGCTGCCTGAATAGATGCTAGATTTTACCCCCCTTAGCATGCAACAGACTGTTATTTGAGCCACTAAATGACACTGAATTTCTGAAAGGGTCTATTACCTGTACGGCAAAGCACAGGCAAAAGAAAAGAAACATACAATATTTGAATGTGAGTATTTGACCGGAATCTCTTTGGTTGGGAGAACAGAAATTGAAGGAGGACATCCATCAAGCCCCAATTAGAGACCCAACGTTCTGAAAGCCTCTTCTTCAGGGGTGACTATGGCTATGGATACAATATTACAGGGTTAAAGCAGATTATCAACATCTCACACAACAGGACAAGAGTGTAAGAACTTTAGAAAGCACCACTCACTACCATAGGGAAGTGGATTTTTATACACAAAATAAATTTTCGCAGCAACTTAACTTTTGCGGATTTTGCAACTTAATTTATAATGTGAATACATTGTTCTAAGGTAAGAAATGCATAGAATATCCAGACAAGTGGTGAGCGAGTATACGAGAACACATAAGTGAACAGATGAATGAAAGGAGGTTATACATCTCATCATAAATCCATTTTTAAAATTTTTCCTGAAAATAATGTTTTGATGAATGATCATTTCTACAGAAGATATCAGGGTTCATACCTGACAAATCTCTGGCAGACATACGGATGCAAGTTCTTGAAATGGTTGGACATGTTTGCCAGCGCAGCAAGGCAGTTTGTATGCAGGTATTTGTCCTGAAAAAAAGAGAAAGAGCAATTTACCAGTCATGCAATCTCAAAAAAACGTTTCAACAAATCCATTGGCAGATGTATACTCTGAAACAAGAAACCATCTACTAAACATGTACTGAAGTGCACAGAAAAGAGCTTTTATAATGATACAATGTAAAGCACAGAAAGAAAGTCTAGCATCACTTCAGTCCAACTTGTCTGCACTTTATCTAGAAACCAGCACTGGTTAGCTATACTAATATAGAATAACAGGAACACTCAAGGGACCACGAAGCAAAAATTGAAAATAGGAAACAGAATGATCCTTCTTTTGCCAATGCCAGCATATTCCTGGGACGTCACTGTCACTTTCCAGTACTCCAAGTAGCAACACACCTACTAAAGTAAGCTGACTGCTGCCGTTTTGTGGGTGATGATGATGATGCAAGTAGTGCTGCTCTCAGCACCCCCAGTAGCTAGAAACTTTCTAGAACCATCTTGGGCTGTGAAAACCTGATCAGCACGACTTTCCAGCTGTGTTGTGCATTCCGAGCTTTCCAGCCTTTCTTGGAAGTTTCCACTTAGCAACTTGCGTTGTTCATGTTGCATATCCTTTTTGTCTATTTTCCACTAGGGCTCATAACCTAATACCCTAGTTACACTAGAGCTCTTAACTGTAATTAAGCCAACAACATATGACTCAACCGCGATCGGCTGGAGTTACACGGCGGCGCCAACTGTCATTCAGCCGCTAACGATCATTGAGTTCAACTGAGCTGGTCTACCTCAGTTATACACTATTTCACCTTATGATGTACTGCAGGAAGGCTACCAGTGCAAGCTCCTTGCTCTGGGGCAGATCTCGGCGGAAAAAGCTCTCGTACATGAAGGGCAGCTGCCACCACTATGAGCTCGTGCTTCTAGCCTTTGCAGCAATACAACATAAGGTGAAACGGAGTATAACTAATGGAGGTCTGCCCAAATAGAGCTAAAGATGGCGGCGTCCGCTGCATCAACACCCATGGCCAGTGCCAGCGAAACACTTACTATTATGGGAAATTGGGGGAGGTATCTAGAAAGTATCGTAGCAGCAAATATTGTCGGAAGAGGTATGATTCAGGGCCAGAGCTGCCGCTAGAACGATCACGGCACGTCGCGAAAGTCAAAGCTTGGCAAGGGCAGCCATTGTAATGTCGGTGACGATGAGATTTTCGTTGAGTCCCTGTTGCTTGAATTTGTATGAAACGTTCCGATTGTTGTTTCTCTACTCAAAATAAAATAAAAGAAGTTTATTTTATTTTGTTTTTGCTGTTTATAATGAATGAAAAGTGTACATATAATTAATTTGCATCGTTATTTAATACAATGATAATGTGACGTCAGTTTAGGTTTCTTTTCAGTTTCAACTGTGTCCCTTGACGCACATCTCAATTGAGGTTGTTAGGCCTATGTACCATGTAACACTGAACAACTTAGTTGAGCTCAATGACGGCTGGGCGGTGTCAACGATCATTGGCTTAATGACAGTTAAAAGGGATAGTGTAACTAAGGTATTAGTGCCTCCTGTTCAAGCATTTATGCTTGGAATTCACATGAATGAAAGCCACTGCCACTGGCGTGACGTTGCAGACTATGACAACTGTTCTCTACCGAAATAATTCTTGCAGAGTCGTCCTGCTCGACCTTCAATTAATATCGCAGATCACGTCGGGGAGGGGAACGGAACAGACGCGTCCAATCCATTGCTTTGGTGCTGTGCAAAAAGCAAGCTCTCCCCAAAATGAGTTCCGCTTAGATTCTGTCCAACTATCGTTGTTGACACTGTTGATTGGACGTGCCGTATTATTTGAGACATTTTTTCTAAAACACTGTTCGGATAACGAGGCATTGTGTGGCACGGAAAATATATGGTTTGAATATTGAGACTTGGCAAATTATAAATACTTTATTTGTGCATGGGAAATATGCGTGCCTTTCGGCTATCCTCAGCTGTCAATTATTTTCTATGATTAAGGATTTTGTCGACCGACATAGCTAAGTGGGTGGCCGAGGTGAGAAGTCAACCCAGAATAAAACAAACATTCCAGTGGCATTCATTCTGCCATGCACATCCTCGACAAAAATAGCTTACAAATCTTGTTTATTCCCAAAGATGACAAAACGTTTTGTCAGTGACCTCGAGGAAGTACACATGCTATAAAATGGCAGAAAATATGCAGATGAATGAATGAACCATACTTGATCGAATGAAACAAATTCTAAGAAGCCGCCGAAAGACAAAATCTTTGGCGGAGCCGGGATTTAACTCTGGGCTAAACAAAATGTGTCTAATAAGAGGTGTTTTAGAAGCACACACCGTCGCGTAGAATGCAATACGACGCTTGCTGGCGCATTGTACATGCTATATCCGATACCCAATCAGATAATTTGGAGACCCAGAGTTCAAATCTCGGCTCCGCGAGACTTTCTTTCGGTGGCTTCGTAGACTTTGATTCGTCCGATGAAGTATGGCTCATGAATCTGCATAATTTCAATTATTTCCTCTTTGGAGATAGCGCTATAAAATGCAGAAACAAAGAAACAAGTGTGGCAACGTATCTGGCAGCAGTGCAGGCAGGCTGCTGCTAGCTGGTTAGGGTTAGCAGGAACCAGCCTCAAACCCAGTGAGTGTGCTTAAAAAAAGGTTCTCTTGTCCCCGGAGCCAAGTCTCCCTCAAGAAGGTATATGGGATGTATGGGTTTAAGGAATTGGTTCCTATGGTTCTATTAATTAAGGTAAATATTGAACCAAAAGCCAAATAAACGACGTCTCACCCTCATGCGTGTCATGTTGAAGTGAATGGTCCGTATCACCACCAGGATAAGAAGGCCGCCCAAGGAAATCTCTGAGAGCGACCTTTCTGTGTACCAGGAAATGTTCTTCAAGGTCTGCCAAAAGTTCAAGCAGAATCACGAGAGTCAAAAAGCATCAATGGACCTTTTGTAGAAACATCGGTTCGAGAGTAAATGGCTGCAGTACCCTCACTCTCTTCCTTCTGGCCGAGCAGAGAGGGAAGATGGTTTCGTTGTGTCGACTTCGGGGTGGAAGATTACGCAAGATGGGGACAAAGGAGAGTGTGGGGGAGCCGTATCTAGGTCACAGCACCTCAATGGGTAAACAGGATGTAGCTGACGTTTTGGGTGTGGAACGGGTGGGAGAGGCCTTGCGCGCGCCTTGTTTTCTCGCCACTTAGCCTCGAACCCAGTCGCATGTCTAGGTGGCAGCACATACTGTAAACAACTTAATTTTCGCGGGTTCAAATTTTCGCGAATCGGGCCAAAGCTGAAAGTTTGAAATTATTCGCAGGCTCTAATTTTCGTGAATCGAGTGTAGCTTTTGTAGCGTTCACATATTGCCCGTATTGTTCGCGGCATGTATTTTTTGAGAATTGTAGGCGATTCGCGAAAATTAGGTTTTTGCGGAAATTTAGTTGTTTACAGTATTTGCCAAGAGGTCCATTTAACATACATGGTTGTTCTGCATGAAAATACTTATTTATCAACTTGAACCATCAAGTCCGGAGGCAATGTAGAAAAGACACAAGAGGCACACCCCCTATAGACCAGTGTCCGAAATCCTATCCCCCAGCAATAAAAATGAGAAATAATAATCTCAAATGCAGGCTCTTGTAAAGGCAGGGGCTGCGTATTAACCAGGATTTTTGCTTTTTACAGCACTTTGGGCATCGGTGTTGTTCTTGGAACTTCATGACCATGCATTTCTGATGTTCGTGCACTACAATGTATATGCAAAAGTTTCTAAAAACAAAAACAAAAAAAAAAGTCTTGCAAAAAACGCAGCCCCCTACTGTATAATGGCATCAGCATTAACAAACATGGGGCCATGGAACAGGGCAGACACTGGTCTATAAAGCTATCAGTAAAGCTTTGTTTGTCCATAGACAGCGACTGTTTTTAGTTATTGTGAATGATACATGCTAATAGCTTTGTGCAGAAATTACACGAAATACTTATGAACTGGAAATGAACTTCATGTAACCTTGCTGCCCCTGTTCTCAGTGTAACTGAACTGTTCATCGCAGCCCAAAGAAATGCTGAGGTTTAAAACGAAAATAAATGAGTTCATGCTCAGTGCTAAGCCACAAAGACTGGTTTCCTTTGTTGTCTCATTCTTAAATGCAATGAAATGCGCCATCCAGGTGAGGGAACGGTTTCTGTCGAAGCTGTAAAGAATTTAGCCAGGACAGGCAGTCAAGAGATTGTATTTTAGATCCACAACTCCTTTTTTGCCGTGGCCAATGGCTAGCGGGCAAAATACCGGTATGTGAAAACTCCAATACGGCAGAAACTGGATAACTGATAATAGGTACACTAGGTGGTGCTTCTTTTTGCATAATGCCCATTTTGTTAACTGCATTCAGCATAGTTAAGTCTTTTCAAGTGCAGAACTCTTTGCTGTACTGCACGAGACTCAAGCACTAAGCTTAGGAAAGCACTTTACAGTAACACACCAAGCATGCACCCATGTTACAATAAGCCACCACTTGCTACTTTTAAACATTTCAAAAATAAACAAAGGACATATAAAGCACTCTGCCCAGACCTCTGACCCCATCCAGCTAACCGAGGCACTCCTACGCATCACTTCCCTCTCCGAGCACGCTGGTGCTAAAGAGAAAAGCTTGATGAGTGCACGCAGGTGCAAAACAGTGAAGCTTGATGCAACCACATCGGTGCAAAGTGGTGGAGCCCACCCATTCAACCAGCCCTCGTGCATTTCCGCTCAGACCTAACAAGTGCCCATAACCCAGTTTTACAAGATTATCACCAAATTTTGGGTGGGCGTTTGCTCAGTATTTTATGAAAGAGGAAAGCATAGCTGAGTGCCCCCTGTACATTGCAGTGGCAAGCTCACGGTGGATGTACAAACAGCTGCTTGGACGAATTTCCAAAACTGCATGGTGGCACTCATATCTCACAATGCTTTAGACAACTTCAATAAAATTATTGGGCAGGATCCCAAATGTGAGCCCCCCCCCAAAGATAGTTAGCGCTTCTCTACGGATAATAGAAACAACTCACAATATCGTGAACAGCCTCGTTGAAAAGATCATCTTCACTCAAAATGAGGACCACGATGAGAGACATGTAGATGTGATGGGATGTTTTTTCTGGGGCATCATACAAAATTTTCAGGATGGGAACGATCTGCAAGGAATTTAATCGGTTACAAATTACACCCACAGTTCACAACTGTCTTAATTATATTTTATTTCCCAGTGATTACTTGATCGGAAGGAGAAGAATAAGCTACAATACTCCTAAAAGATGTACACAGTTACTGAAACAAAACCTCAAAAGTACATTTGGAAGAAAACCTTGTACTAGTATGTCAGTGAAAAGTGCTGAAGAAAAACTAACCCTTCCTTTTTCATGGCTACATAACAAAGCCCAACATCAGAGACCAGAGCCACAGAAAACAATTAATACTAAGAAAGAAAAGCAAAAGAGTTGCAAATTATGACCCCTGTAAACCTCATAAAGTTACTAATATCAATAAATTATATCTTTACATGATAAGGGCAGTGTAACAACACACTGTTAAAGGGAAAACAAATGCTGTTGTGGCCTATTTCCTATTTCCTTTAACTATCACCACATCATCAAAGATAAAATTTTACAAATTTAACGGTAAGTACAGCATAGCAAAAAGTAGTTAGAATTCAGCCGGCGTCACAACAGTATGCACGGGTATTAATGCGAAAACAACGAAACTTAATCTACTGCTGCCTGCAAGTCACCCCCCCCCCCCCCTTTTTTTTTTTTTAAGGAACAGATACTTTAATGGGGAGCTGCGGACCTATGTGCGGAGGTTGGGCTACTTGGGGGCACTGGCAATCATATTTCCGCTGTCATCAAAACCCCCGGAAACTCATTCCCAGGAACACAGATTCTCATATCTAGGCATGTCTTTCTACTAGTAAAAAATGACCTATTTTCAAGCTGTTTCTGAATCAGAACCTGGAATGAGATCTCTAAACAGATGTTGCAACATTATAATTATTTTTGTTAGATACACTGGTGTACTAGCACGACACTGTTAGCACAAACAAGCTAATGCTAGTTTTTTTGTTTTTTTCTTAAAACCAAAAGGCTGCTATCAAAACTACTGTGTGGTGGAAGTTACTCATTCGGGTCACTAATCTAAGCGGTAAAACTTAGTGCCCACCAATACTTTTTTTTTAAAGTAAACTGCGAAAAAAGGGCCATGTTATGCCCGTGCTAAGAGTGTTGCACAATGCACATTGGTGCCAAAAATGTGCACCGAACATAGCGTGGTTAGTGTACCGTAATACCTACCTCTGCCTCTACCTTCAGTACATGTTCTAGAATGCACTATAAGAGGAAATTTCATGAAGCAGTGTTTAACAATGCAGGATGTGTAGCTAAATTGAACACACCTATTTCCATCACTATATGCACTTCAGGGTTCTAAGAAACAACAAAATGCAAGATGCTATTGAATATACCTTTAAGGCTCAAACTTGAACTCCACGGGCAGCACTCCTCTACGAGGCACCAACAAAACCAACAAAAGCAGTGACCGTGAACTTGTGTTCAGAATTAATATTTTGTGAGCTCTGTGCCCAAGGAAAACACCTCATTTCATCAACTTTGTTGAACTGCAGCATGTGGGAAAATTGTGGATTGACATATAGGAGCTACTAATATGGCCATGACGCACTCCGCTAACAAGTGATATCAAACATGAGCAGTCTCACCAGCAATTCAATGTTGGATCTTGACAGGACGTACGTCTTGAAGTTGCTGTTTCGGTGCATCAGCAAGTACAGCAGTAATGTTGTCTGGTCATTGTTCAGAGTGACACACAGAGTGTCGTAGAGTTTTCCGTAGTCTAGCTTGAAAGATGGAATGGCTTCCACGCTCCCTCCTGAATCTGAAAGGAAACACAATTAAAGCAATGAAGACACCTACCACTGAGAGTCTCAGTTGTCTCGACAAACAGAAAACATTGTACTACCTAAAACATTGACAGGGATCGTGCAGCAATTAAAATAATCCAGCAGTTCAAAAACATTAATTGAGCCAAAAAGAATCTCCATATTGAAACTTCACACTCAAAGGAGTTGGAGAAAGTGGTCGTAGTTTTCTGGACAGTGTTTCGCCTCTGCACAACCAGATTGTTTTGTATTTCAGAGTACCACGTTGGATAGCCGGCGCAAAGCGCTAGGTCTATGTCCGTGAACTTGTCAAATGCCATGGCAGCATCAATACAGAGTTTAGTTTGTTGATTTCACGCCTTGATAATTTGCTGAACATCGCAGTGCAATGTTCCACATAAATAACTTTCTTCTTGTACTGCCTCCACTTATATGATGCAATGAATACCCGGTAACAATACACGAGCAAAGGCACCGGTGAATTATTAAGAATAGTTATTGAAGTTAATGGAACAATGTACTAAAACATCTTAAGGGGAGGCACGGCCTAGGAATCGCGATTTTTTTCAAAAAAGTCACATTTTTGGAAAATAGGCTGACCAGCTTTTACAACTCATAAAGAATGCTGTCCAAAAATTTTATTCCTGTAAGTAAAGTATTTACTCCGAAATAAATTATTTTCGAAGTGCTGGCAGCCGATTACGAAAATGTGCCATTTTCAAAGCACACTCCCTCCGCGTTTCTTTTGACTAGCATGGACAGGCCCCCCTCGTTTAAAATGAGCGTCTCGCCCTCTTTCGTTCTGTTCGCAGCACTGTTCGTGATATCGTGCTCACAGACCGTAAAACTCCGTAGAAAACATAGCTGTGCACTCTCTTATTGGTCAAACTGGCGAAACAAGAGCTCTGTTGGAAATGGGCATACAGCCAGGGAGCTACCAAGCGTCATACAGAGAGAGGGCCACCAAGATGAAGGTTGCGAAGGCCCAAGTGAAAGCGCTCGAGTCCTCCAAGATGTCCCACAAAAAAAGGAAGATGGAAGCTGTGGCCAAGGCACAGAGGGACCGTGCAGAGGAAGGAGTGACATATGCCCCTGGAGCATTTTAGATGAAATGGCAAGCCCCATCTAAACTAAAACACTGTTCGAACTTTCAAACCCTTTTCTCAGCTTCATGTTTTCACCATTTTTTCACAGCTCTAAAACTATCGTTCGATGAGTTAAGTGCCCCCAAGTCTAATGTATGGCTTTTTTGGCATGAAATTTACTGGAGAACTCGGCTATGTGCTTACTTTTTGCAAATTGTTATTTCTTCACACAAAAATGTTGACGTCTGTGAAACAAGAAAAAAATTAAAAATTCATACCATTATTGAAAGTTAATTTTTACCTGAAATATGGCCTTAAAGATTATTTCAAGCCTACTACTGACTAGTTTAGTCATTCAGCGTTATATCCCAACAAAGAAATTGTGCCTTTTTATTCATATTTTGAAACAATAGTTTTTTTCCTTTGGCACTGCTACATGTACATTTTTTTCAACGAATAAGGCTGTAACTTGTCAAAAAATGAACCTTTTGGGTTGAAAGTTGGTGTAGCCTCCTAAGTTTTGACGTTTAACATACCCTAAAAATTTCATTGACCTGGCACAAATACTTAAAAAGTAGACCCTCCAAGGGAGTGCCTCCCCTTAATCAAGTTCTTCGTAAAAGAAATGTAAGCGAAGTATGATGAAAACAGATGAAACATCTATCAAGCTGCCCATAAACAAAACGAATGGCGGCAGAAAGCGTAGCAGTTCCCGGCTGTTTAGACATCCATGATCCCTTCGTGGATTCAACAGACTCCACAGATACACAGCAAAAAAACAAAAGTGTGAATCAATCTCGCTGCTACGAAAAGTCTGTGTCTAAAACACTGGTTGGCAACTGCTGTTACCGAACTGAATGCCAGCATTTCCGAGGTACACCCAGGGTGGAACTCGAGAAATGTACTTGGGAGCAGCCACAGGAGCAACTGAAACAGCTGTTTTGAAGCAGGTTGGGAGCAGCTAAAACTACATTCTAGAGCAGGCAAGGAGCAGCTCAGATCAGTTTTCATTGCGCTTCAGCTAGTGTCTTAGACGAGCACGGCACCAATTTCAATCGTGCTTAGCAGCACAGAAGAACATGAGGGGATAGGAATCTAGGTAGATGGGATAACAGTGTAACAGATGCGAAAACGTGAAACTTTGTGAGCCTTAATGAGAACCAAAAAGCAAGTACCATACGTTTCGGAAGATAGTGAGTGTCCTTGATAGTTTCCAAGTGGCTTTCAGCTGTTCAGAATGCAAACCAGCACTGCTTATCGCAGAACCCATACATGCTTGACATAGCTATTATATGTGCGAACCATGTGACATATGTAAGCAACGGACGTGCAGTTGAGCGGAGGAACAGGGAAACAAATTTCGAGTTTATCCTATTGTGCAACTCAATATTGAAGCAGCAGACTATGATTAACGGAGTTATCGTATTCAAAGGTTAAAGTACGCCGAGCAGATCTACCGCTCGCGTGAGAGCTGCTGGCTGGCAAGGTTTCGGATTGGACCGCGTTTCAGTTCTATCAAATCACGATTTGTTTTGCGGAAATGCAGTTCCAACTTCTAATGAAGAAGTACTAAAAGGAATCTTTTACTAATGTGTTTTCAACTGGCTGACGTCCAGATCCCGGGTCGCAGAGCCTCAGGCAATCTGACGCTTAACTACTCGACCTCGCCTCGGCAGACTTGCTTAACCGCTTATGGCTGAAGAATAACAATCCAGTCATTGGTGGTGCAGCGCTTGGAATCCGACTCTTGAGTTTTTTCGCGCGCTTCTGACTCGGGATACACAGGAAAATAAACTGAACAAAGGATTGCAAGGCCGACTAAGCTAAACGCGCTCATTGCTGCCAATCAAGTCAATAAAAACTGAAACCAAGACAGAATACAATTTTTTTTTGTGCACGTTGTGCGATTTGGTGCATAAGGATGCGAGGTATTGGCTGTGGCGCAGTTTCCACAAAATGGCGCAATGACGCTCGCCCCCAGGCATCCACGCACCTTGCGAATTGACGAAGGAGAAGAGGGCCTTCTTGTAAGGGTTGCAGACGGCCTTGTCGTTGGTGCAGTGGTTCACCAGAACCAGGAGCAGCAGCAGGCTCTGTTGGGCAAGCACAGTCTCCTTCAGCCGCGTTGACTCCTCGTCCTGCTCCTTGCCGTAGCCCAGGGTCAGCACATTCCATAGGCCGGCTGACGTCGGAAGACGAGAAATGCGAGGGCTTTGAGTGCAGTCGAATGCTGCCATAGAGATCTCTCGACCCTCTTAGGAGCAGCCCTACAAAAATTTCTAATGCTATACTTTTTTTCTCCTTATGATGGACTTCAGCAAACGCTTTGAGCCACTCCAGTCAACCTAGCGCTCTCCACGTACGACACAACCAAGCACGCTGCACGTTGCTACACCCCTCCCAAAGGTCATGCGAAACCCGCACAACATTGTATTGGCTTTGATGGCTCATGGCGACCCCCCACGGACTGCCCCAAGGTGAAAAGGAGTGTTACCGTGAAATACCGGGCTTGCACTGGGCTTTCTGCACATGCCCACCAATTGCTTTCTCAAAATCTTGCACCACTCATCGCTTACATATTTTTTCTGATCATGTGCAACACTAATTTGGTGAGAACTATTTGATAAAACCAGAAAATGTTCGCAAGGCCGCCTGCTCGGTGCTTCACCGAATAATAGTCTCCGCATTTCGACGATGGCTGATAACGCACATTAGCACTGCAGTGTATGTGCACTGTTTTGGCCACTCATCTAAGAAATACCTTTTCCAGCAGCACGACTATGCGAGCAGAAGGTGGTTATCGGGCAGAAAATATGGCTATCGGTTCATTTGAACTACTAAATCATACTGCTTTGCTCTTGCGGCCCATTATAAGTTAATTGTCTAAAATTATTTTTGCCAGTGGAATTTAAGATTGCAAATTATACAAGTATTGGTTTCAGTCAAATAACTTCTCATCTCACTTAGCGAATGGTAATTACTACGCTCTCTTGTTCAAGTTTCATGGCTTCAAAGTGTAAGCTGCAAAACAACTTGCTCAAAGCACTTCCTGAACCCTTCCAATTTTGTGCCACTGTTACGGCCTAAAAAAAAAAAACACTTAATAAATGTTACAATTTCTCACCTCGGTCTGAAACGGGTAAGAGGCTACTGAAACACTAAGCACCATACTGGCTCTAACACTCAAGCCAGAAATCGGGATATCGTTAAGCTCTTGGCAAAATAAGAGCCTAGATTAATTTTTTAAATTTCGTTTGTAATGAACGTAAGGGCATCTCCTCAGTCTCCATGCTCATTGCGTTCTGCCATGCCTCGGCCTACATAACGTAACCTCGTGGTCCCGGTTACTAAATTTGCACACAGGATACACTGGTTGGTGAGCCAGGCTTATTTTCGTGGGTGAAAGGGTTGACAGAATGACAGCCTCTCTAAGATTTGTCTAGCAGTTCCGCTGAGACGACTGTAGAACCACGTGGACATATTCTCGGCGAATACCATGCTTTTCTGCCTGTTATATGTTCCCAAACGCCGGTTCCTTCGAACACCCATAGAGATATGTGCATTTGCCTTTCCCACGTCCAGAGGCTACCGTTTGACATGTTCTTGGGCAGTGGCTGCCCTCTTTGTTTTGCGTTGGTCCCTCACTTTGCCACATCTTCGCTTCTGTGCGCACCACCTTTTGCGCTGCTCTTTCCACCCCGAGCACGACCTTGAACTAGGCTTTGAAGGTTCTGAGGCCTTAGCACAGCATTCCACACATCTTTTCATCTCTTTCTCCCACGCACATGCTTGCTTCTGTGGTACTCGGCTGCTTAGTTTCCCCACTTCTGCTAGTTCCCTTTAGCGTGGAGTCCGTGGAGTTCAGAGCTCGCCAGCATGCACTGCTCTTGGTGCGTGCGAGTTCAGCTTCCCCGCCTCGCACCGGTGTGTCCATCAAGCTTCCCTGCTTTGCACCGGTTCACTAGAAGCATCGGCTGACGCGGAGAAGCATCTCGGCCAGCTCGGTCGGCTCGGAAATTTTGCTCACTCTTACGGGTTGGCATTCTTGTGCTACAATTAGTTTTTTTTTAAGTAACAGTTTTGAAGAAGAAATAGGAATTCAGTTTTTTAATTAATATGGTAGTTCACCAGTCACTAAAGTCCACATAAAATGAATTGTTGCGAAAGAGTTGATTTCTGTTTTATCTATATCATTACCGGCAGTTAAAGGGATTTTTGTGCTTTGCGCAAATACTGCTTAGAACAAATCCCTGATGCTAATGACCTGTGAAACACCTGCTCATTCTTCACCACACGCAATCAGTCGCAGCACAAAAAACAACAAAAAACAAGCGGCATTAATTTTTTTGAATTTGCAGCCAGAACAAGCGGCTATGTGATCTGGAGCTGATTATATGCCGCCAATGTTGATCATAGGCACGTGCTGGGGTTGGCAAGGCACAGGACAAACGCTGAGTTTTAGACATTGTTACACGGGCCACTAACTGGATGCTTCTCGAGCTATCGATTATCACGAGCCCAAATCGAGCGCCCACGCAATGCTCGGGCATCGTCACTGGGCGGTACTGCGACCGCCCAGCTACATCATCAAGTTTTGCAAAGGAGAGATTGGATGAAAACCCTCGCTTTTGTCTTTGAAACTATATTGCAACAAAGGTCTTTCTTGGCCAGTTGCGTTGCGTGCTAGTATCTCCCAATTGTGCCAGGAAGCTTGTGTAAAGTGAAGAACACTCCACCTTAATATCGTTGTACTGCCCCTTTAAGCTTTCCCGGATCATACATGATTTTATTGCACTCCCCTGGAAAATGTATTAACAAGGTTTAAATTTTGTTCACTGAGGATTATGTTTTGGTTTCACACAATACAAAAGTCACAGGCAGCGAGCGAATCTGCAAGGTGGCAAGCACCGCTTGGCGATTATTTTGGTATGCCGAGCCCTGACGTAATTTCAAAAGTGGTAATAGAAGCTCAGCTCAAGTAAGAGCAACCTCTCTCTGATCTTGGGTTTTGCCTAAGGTAATGAGCTGTTTGGCAGAAAGACAAGATGAAGAGGAAGGTTAAAAGAAAAAGATATAGAAGACTCACAAGCCAAGCCTATGATGATACTGCCACCAGACTCAGAATGGTGGTAACTGTTCGGGCATTTGTCCTGACGTACAAAATTCTGAAGCAGGCTTTTCGTGAACAGCAAGGCGTGAATAGAGCTGCAACAAAACAATGTCGTTAATAACAAAAACTATCACAAGGTGTGCACAAACAGGGCTGCTGCTTCATCCGAGATACTACACGAAAGAGATGCAAAGAATAGAGCAACTCGCTATTCGGTATTCGGTCTCGACATGATATGGCACAATAAATCAGCATTTATTTCCCTATCTGCATTTATCAGTCTATTTTCCATTAGCATCACTGCAGAACACTAAATCAGTTAAACAATCATTTGAAAAAGTAACCGGCAAAGAACAAAATCAAAAGGAGCAGCAGCAGTGCAAATATAAGAGATGCTCGTTTGGTCACTTTGAACAGGAGTTCTCTGATGTTTCTTTATCTCGGGGAAAGCATATTTCTTTTTTACTAATAGTCGACAAGCTTTTCCTGGTCTTGGCATTAATGCGATGAAGTAGCACAAAAGCCCACAGACCTTGTTAACAATAATGCACATACTGGAGTGTCTCATGCATTGTTATACATCATACGTTGGATGGCTCAGATCTTCTAAAAGAGTGCTTAAACTGAAAGAACGCCTTACGCAGGGCAAGGGGCAGCTGAAAACATGCGGTAGCTTGAAAACCCCAGGGTTCTTTGGGGCCCAGTTTGAGAACATATGGCTTAGAAGAACACTAAAGGGCCTCGGAGGTTGTCTTTCAAAGCCGATAACCCAATTTATGCACTCAAAGCATTGTCAAAAACTCATTGTGGCAGACAAGCACGGCCTATTACCCAGACATGTATATAACATGTTATTATTAACGAGTTATTTCTACCTACCGTAAAATCTTGAGGTGCCCCACTCCCGTAAGGTAACCCACCCCCAATTTCGGGTTGATTTGCTATTTTCTCGGAAATGCCGAAAGACAGCCCACTCCTGGTAATCGTAGAGTTCGGATCAATGATGACCTTGGCATAAATACATCCAATTAGCTATGGTGGGATATAAGTCAACAGTGCTGACTGGGAAGTACAGTCATCTTTGCTTCATTGCCCTTTGCCGCGATAACAAGTTTGACCGAGACGCGTGACGTAAAAATAGCATTTCTCAACTTTTCTCGATTGCACACCGTACGTTAGCCCACTCCTTTTTTTCATCCAATTTTCTCGCGGAATCTTGTGTTGTTACTTTTAAGGCCAAGTAACGAGTAACATTATTGTGTTGCTTTTGAGGAGTAACGCGTACAACACCATTTCAACAGCCTCGTTTTAATTCTAACCCGAGTATACGTCTATTGTGACAAGGGAAGGTGGGCAACCCGAAAAACAACTAAACAGTATGACAGTAGAGCAAAGTTTATCGCTGAACCCGTCAGTCGAACACTACAGTTGGGAATGTCCTTCACCCAGTTAACTTAATAAAGTTTGTTGGTTGAACCTTCTAGAATCGTGTAGACTGAATGCAAGCCGGAGGTTGCCAACGCGGGAAGGCACAGAACCCATTGTAAACTTCAAACTTTCGAAGCAGAGAGAACAAATGAGAAAGGAAAATCCAAGATTCGCCACCTCTTCCTTAAGTACAACACTGCCATTCCTTCGAGTGTGTCAGTAGAATGAATCTTCAGCATCGCTGGAGATGCGTTCTCAAGGAAGTGGAGAAACATAACTCATGAAAACTTCGAGAGATAGCTAATGCTTCAATTCAACAACTACTGAAAAAAAGAAAATTATGAAATAAAATTGGTTGTGTATTTGGTCATCTAAGCATCGAGAAAACTAACTCACTACTTTTGAAGTAATGTGTTCGTTTTCAGAATCAGTAACATATTTAGTTACTTTTTAAGCGAGTGACGAGTAACAGTATTTAGTAACTCTTTTTGGGTAATCTGTACATGCTTGCCATTATCCAAATGTGATTGAATATCTGCATCCCACCCTTAAATCCAAGCAAAAAAGATGACACACCCCGTTTTCTCAACAAAAGTGGTGTTTGATAACACTGGTTTACATTTACCAGTGCTTTTCAGTACATATCAAAAACCAAAATCTCAAAACAGAAAGAAAAAAAAATAATCCATGAAACACAAACCATTTTCCCTGCAAAATTGACTTGTAGATAGGCGATTTGGCAGCAGGGATGGAGGAAAACATCTGCACCGAGAGCAGCACAAGAATCGTATTGACTGCTTCGACATGGAGTGCATAGGTGAAATCTCTGCAATATAAAAAAGAACAGGCATGAAGAAAGTGGAACACATGTCTAAACTGGAAACAGGCATTCACATACAGTTGAACCTCAATTTAACGGAACCCGATTTTGCGAGTTTCCCGATTTAACGAACAAATTCGGATTCCCCGCGCAGCCTATCCCGAAGAATTTCTTTCTCGACTTTAAGAAGTTCCCGATTTAACGAAATAATTAGGGGGTCCCAGTGACTTCGCTAAATAGAGGTTCAACTGTATTTACACCAATACTAATGGAGCGGTTGACAGTACCATAGCATTCTGCAACATTTCTAGTTGGTCCATCTGACTTAAGGAGCTGACATAATCTGCAAATATTGATATGTGACGACTAAGGTGTCGTACAGATCAGTTTAATTAAGCAGAGGAAGGATTACATGGTTGAACCTGAAGCCTCTCGAACATCAAGCTGGCACGGGAATCGTCGATGATGCATCTTGCGATGCGGGTGCTCTCACCGCATCTCCCTTTTTTTGTTACAAGTCCCTCCGTACAACTGGCTTGACTGTACGGCCTGGTCTTGTGGTGGTGTGCGCCGGTTGGTTCTGCTCTGGTAGAGTAGTTCCCCACTTGAGGTTTTCGGGTCTTGTGTTGGGCTTGAAACACATGTTCGTGGAGGTTCCCATGCTCCTTGTGTTGGACGAATAAATTAAGTGTTGCGAGGGTATTGTCCACCTCTTGTTCGAACTTAGTATGACCTAGGCGTGGATGCACTCTTCACGATAACTTTGGGAGTCCAGCGGCAATTGCCTTCCCACATCCAAACTTTGTCACCGATCCTCATGCCAGGTGCTCTCTTCGAATGCTGGTCAGCGTAGTGTTTTTGTTTTTGTCGCTGGGAGGTCATTTTCTGTTGTACGTTCTCCACAATGTTGGAGATTAACAATGTCTCGCTGAGTGGAATGGCGGTTCTTGTTTGCCGACTGAACAGTCTCTGTGTTGGTGATCCCAATTCTCCATCGCATGGAACATTCCGTAAGTGTAGGAGAGCTAGTTGTACGTCACTTCCGTATTTGGTACACTTCTTCAGCATATTCTTGACAACTTGCACGGCTCTGTTCAGCCAAGCCGTTGGATTTTGGATACCTCGGGCTAGAAGTAACGTGGTCAAATCCCCACTTGCTCTAGAAGTCTTGGAATTCGCGTGCAACGAAGCATGTTCCGTTGTCAGATTCCACAACCCTTGGGATGCCGCGAGTCGAAAACCATCACTTGAGAGCTGTGATGACTTCACTTGATGAGGCATTTCGTAACTCACTGTAGTCAATGAAGTCAGAGTAGCTGTCCACGATAATGTTTGTCTTCCCACTGAAGTCAAACAGGTCAATATCAACCCTTTCCCATGGGAGCTATGGCACTTCTTTCATCATCAGAGGTTTGCTCGGTGGTTTCTTCTGCTTGGACTCACAGATGGGGCAGGAAAGCACCAGGCGTTTGATATCTTTTGACATGCCCGGCCAGTAGATTAATTCCCTTGCTCGTTTCAGACAGCTTGAAATTCCCGGGTGCCCATCATGAACCTGTTCCAGGACTCTCTTGCGCCATGCCATGTCTTTGGAATGACGATTCTGCCACTTCGAAAGGGTAGTCCTTTGTACATGAGCTCATCCCGAATCGGCGAGAACAGCTTCATGGTCTCCGTCATCTTGTTGTTTGGCCATCCATTCATGATAGCTTGCAGAATGTCTTGCAATGAGTCATCATCTTGTAGGGATTCCTTGAACTCTTCTAGTGTGCTTTGCGACATCAGGACGATTGCTAAGACTTCCATATCTTGTGTGTAATCTTCGCTGTAATGGTTGGGCGACAATCTCGGCTGAGTATCTGCGATGACGAGGTCTTTTCCCTTCCTGTAATGGATCGACGGAGCGTAAGGTTGGATGTCGAAAAGTAGTCACTGAAGCCGTGGAGGTACCTGTCCTAGCGGCTTCTTGCTAATGGTTTCGAGGGGTCGATGATCTGTTTCAATCTCAAGTGGACTTCTGTAGATGTACTGGTGGAACTTTTTACATCCATATCCAATGGCCAGTGCCTCCTTTAAGGGGGGATATGGCCTGAGAGGGTCAACTTTTGAACCCTTCACCCAATTTGGTTCAAATTTTGAGGGTTATTTCAGCACTATGAGGAAGGATAATCTGCAAAGTTTTAGCATTATTGGTCAACTTTACAGCATGCTACGGTTCTCGCACTTCAGAAAAAAGACACTTCATTAGGAAGTCTATCGTAGAAAAATAAAATTAGCTGGTGGCAAACTTTTTGCTTTAATGTGAAGAACAATACCCACAGTGCAACCTAGATAAAAAATAAATTGCAAAATATTCAATTATAACAAAAATAAGAACATCCCAAAATTTAAAAAAAAAAATGTAAATTTTTTGTTTCAAAAAATTTTTTTTTTTTTTTCATGAAGGAGTAGATTTTTTGAACTGTGAAGTAATCTATCTTGTTCCCCAGAAAATTTCAGTCCCAGAAAACCTTGAATGATGTCCCTCTGTGTTCAGAATGTCAAATGATAGCTTTCCTAAAACAAGAATTCCTGCCAAAAAGTGAAACTGAGAAAAATGCGTTTGAAGTTTCAACTTGTTTTTTTTTTATTTTCGGACGGTGCCAGAAACTCGAAATTTACCCGAGTCATTGGTGGCACCTTCAACTACATGAGCATGAGGAGGGCAGTTGCTTTGAGGCCCCCGAAGAGATTCGTGAGCTTTGTGAAACTGATGCCACAGTCTCTTCCAACGACGCCTAGACGTACCGCGAGTTCGTTCTCTCGAAACTTGCCGATTGATGGTGAGTGCGGTGTCGCGACGATGTCTCCGCAAGTCGAGCAGCTAACAACAAACTAAACGTTGATGTCAACTTCCTGCAAGCTCAGTAGTTTTCCGTGGCACTTGAGGCAGAGTAAAATCGCAACAAGAGTCTGCATGGTGGACACATTGAGGAGCCGTTCAGGGGCTTTTCAACGGGAGCGTCTGTCAGCTCCGGGTCGTCCGTAATCCCCGCGTCGAAATCGCGCAGGCTGAGCTTCCTCTCGAACGTGGTCAGCACATCCGATTCGGAGATGAAGCTGTAGGCTCCGATGTCCGCCAAGCACCAGTTGAGCTTGGAGATCGTGACGACGGTGGCGGAGACGGCGACGATGGTGCCGGCGGAGACGGGTCCCCGTCTCCGCCGGCCCTTTGTTTCCGCCGTTGAGAACGCCGGCCAAAGCTACTGCGAGTGCTAACTTTGGAAGCAGGCATTTCTCGGCAGAAAAACTACCGGGAACAAAGAGGGAAAACGAATCTAAACAGCGGCAAACTGGCGATACGATCAGAAGCGATACGATCAGAAGCGAAAGAAGCTGCCGATAGCGCACGCAGGCGGCCAATCGTGAGCCCTGTTTCGGGTCACAACCAATGGGATTGCTGGTATCATAGTTCCCACGTTTTTTCTGCTTGTATGTACGGGGTTCTCCCGGGACACAGATAGCCTCAAACGTAGCAAGCTTCTATGGGCAGAAACTAGAAGAAACGGCGCTTCCAACGAGGGTAAGATATCTCGGCTGCGTCGAACGAGCGCGGAGTAGGCCTAATTTGAAAATGCCGAACTTCGCCGTCTGCTTGCTCGGCGGGTCGCCGCGCGCGGCCGCGAGCTTGCCGAAAATAATTTTTTGCGAAATAAATACTGCGCATTTATAAATAAAACTTTCTGAAACTATGCTTCAGAACATAGTGAACCCAAATATAATATTTTTTGAAAATGCATTTTTTCGGAAAAAAATGGAATTTCGTGGCCGTATCCCCCCTTAAGACTTGTGGATAGTTTTGCTGTGCACTTGTTAGAGTAGAGGATGCGTAAGCCACTGGTTTTCCGTTCTGCAGTAGAACTGCTCCTAGTGCCTTTGAACTGGCGTCGACAGAAAGCGTCATCTTGCTGTTTGTGTCGTAGTAGTCTAGTGTTGCCGCTTGCTTGGGGGCTTGCTTTATCTTTTCTAGAGCGATGCTTTGTTCTTCAAGCCACAACCACACTATGTCTTGCTTGAGTAGTTTCCTGAGTGGGCTTGTCTTCTCTGCCAGGTTAGGGACAAACCTTTTGAAGATATTGGAGCATACCCAGAAGTCGCTGAAGTTCGGTCTTGTTCTTCGAATCTCCAATCTTCTCAATCGCTTCGATTTTGTCTTTGTCGACTTTTAGCCCTTCAGCTGTTAGTACATGGCCGAAGAACTTAACGCTTGGCTGGTTGAAGACACATTTGTCGTAGTTTAGTTTGGCACCAACATCTCATAGTTTCTGGACTACTTTGTTAGTGTTGCTGCAGTTCTTCTTTCGTCTTGGCAAAGATTAAGATGTCGTCCATTGAGTTTGACACGTTCGTTAGGCCCCTAGGACTCGTAATATGACTTGCTGGAACACTTCGAGTGCAATTGCAATACCGAATGGGACACGGAGAAAGGACCTTCCCCAGGGTGTGCTGAAGGCAAGGTATTTCTTTGTTTTCTCTGATGCTTCCAGTTGCCAGAAACCCTTCTTGAAGTCTAGCAAGGTGAAGACTGTTGATCCCCTGACTTGTGTAACAATCTCTTCCAGCATCTTCAGTAGATAGTGTCTTCGTAAGAGCATTTTGTTCAAGGCGGTCGGATCCAAGCAAATACGAAATTTGCCGCGTTGCTTGACCAGGACCATTTGGCTGCAGAAAGGTGTTGGCTCGTCAATTTTTCTGATTAATCCTTGCTTCTTCATACTGTCAAGCTCTTTCTTTACGTCATCCATGAGTGCATATGACACCTTTCTTGGCGGCCTGTTTTGCATTTCAGTTTTTTGAGGTCTGCATCGTACCCATGCCCTTGCAGATGTCGTCTTCGGCATCTACATGGTTGATGCGTTTCACAAGGTCGAGGTTTTCACAGGCGTTTCTGCCTAGAATTGGTGCTCCTTGTCCATCTACAATAACGAACTTGATTTTTTCCGCTTTGCCCCTCACGATGCAAGTCTCTCTAGCTTCTCCCAATACTGGGAGCTTGTGTTGAGTGTATGACACTATGCCCTTGACCGGTGATGAAGTTACTGTCAGGCCTAAGTTGCTGGCAATCTTGCTTGGCAGCAAGTTACATTGTGCACCTGTATCAAACTTCATCTTGACTGACTTCCCACACTGAAACTGTATGGTTTCATACCAGACATCATCAGAATTCTTTTTCGTGCGGGCTGCGGTTGTGACATCGGAGATATACATCTCGCCTGTGTCGTCCTCATGCTCAACGTCATGGACCGATTTCTGCTGGTTCGTGTTTGATTTGGACACAGATGCAAAGTGGCCCACCTTTTTGCAAGAGTTGCATGTCTTCCGGTACGCTGGACACTCTCTTTTGCGATGAGTTCCACCGCAGTAGTTGCACTGTCGCTGCTGCGGTTGTTCTGCCCGAGCAGCTGCTTTCTGCTGCCATTTTTTCTTTGTATTTGTCGTGATTGCATCCAGCTTCGTCTCTGTTCCCTTCACGGTGATTTCTTTCAGCTGTTGCGTAGCTTGCTTTGCATATGTGGATAGTCTTCTCCAGGTCGATTGCCAGATCTCCGAGTAGTTTTTCTCGGACATTGTCATTTGCTATCCCCACGATGAGGCAGTTTCGCAAGAGCTTGTCCGTCAAATCACCGTACTGGCATTTCTTGGCTTGTAGTTTTGCTGCTGTCAAAAACTCGGTGAAGGTCTCTCCTTGCTGCCTCATTTTGTTAAATTTGTACCTCTCGTACGCCAGGTTCGTTTTCGGTGTGAAATGCTCTTTGAACTTCCACTTCATCGCTTTGACGTCTTTCTTTTTCATCTTCGGTAAGAACGTTCTGTAGATGCTCTGTGCTTCCAGACTGATTATCGTCATAAAGTTTGCGATCTGGACCTTCGCCGTCTTCTTGTGCATCTGAACTGCACTTGCATACCAGTTGTACGCTTGGAGTCAGTCGTCCCACGTATCCGGAGATTGCGATGAAACCTTTAGAGGCTTCGGTGGTCGAAGTCTGTTGTCTGCCATCTTGAATTGTCGGTGTTGGCTTCGGCCGGTTGCCTCACGTTCGCTCGATGGGCTGTGGCGACGTCTGTGGCGACTTCTGACACCATGTGACGACTAAGGTGTCGTACAGATCAGTTTAATTAAGCAAAGGAAAGGTTACATGGTTGAACGTGAAGCCTCTCGAACATTGGGCTGGCGCGTGAATTGTCAATGATGCATTTCCTGATGCGGATGCTCTCATCACAGATAAAATGAAAGAAACTGCTAGGTGTAAATGACAAATTTGATTTTGTTTGCTTTACTATCACAAAGGGTTTCTCGAAGCATATCCACGACCTAGAAATGTTGCTTAAACACACTATACTAGTCAATAGATAGACATCAGGATGAAATTGTTTACAACTGCTATCGAAAAAGGTAATAAATAATAAGAAATATTCATTAATAAACTATGAGAAATCCGCAACAGTGTCATTCAATGCATAGCAAGAGATCTGTAGAATGGGCTACAACAATAACCTTGTTAACAATACGAGTGTGGTAAAGATACCGATCACTTACACCAAGGGGACATCAACCACTATCTCAACCAACGCATTCACCAGAGATTCCAAAAGGTCATCGTGTTTTGAATCTAGGAAAAAGGATACAGGCAGTAATTGTTATTGCATTGAGTACAAAACATGCAGTTCTTTCTATACACGTTAGCAAGTCCTTTTTCTCAGGGCGCCGCCATCTTCCTCAGTGGGGTGCGCTCTTGAGCGCCTTAGCAAGGTTTCGCAATTGGATTATGACTCGCCCAAGCGCACCCCACTCAAGCAAGATGGCAGCGCCCTGAAACCGGACTTGCAAATGTGTATAGTCTGAAACAAGACAAATGTCATTGGGGCAACTTACCACCTGACAAAGGTGCCTGAAACTGCTTGACCACATTGTCCTCTGTGACTGTCACTATGAAATACTTGACAATACACCGAATGATAAAAAGTGCATTGTAGGTTTGCCAAGTAAAGATGTTGCTGCAAGAAAGAACAAGGAAATGTTTGTGAATGGATATTATCAGTATGAAGTAGCCAGAGAAACTGAAGTCAAATTAAATTACATTACAAGATTGCAGCAAACGATGAAACATATTCTGATCAAAACAAAGAACTTGAAATTCTGCTGGTAACAGCTGATTAAATAGGAACAAATTTAAGGCTCGACCGATCAGACAATATCTGGAATGTATTTTTGCACATCTTATGTAAACAAGTACAGCTTGGCTAGAAGTGTTTTTTCCTGACAACATGATATGGGAGCATATCTTCAGCACTGAAAATTTGGATGACTACGATGAGACAGAGGTAATACTATCAACAATCACGGTAGCATGCGCTCGTCAAATGCATCTAATTGTTCTAGGCAATGACACCTGGAAACTCAGTCCCTCAAAACAAAACAAGAAAAATGGACACACTTGTCACACTGAGCCGATGCTTTGAGCTCCAAGGCGCGAGTGAGGAACACGCTGACCAAGGCACCAAAGTTCCCAGAAATGGCATTGTTTGTGAGCAGCGTTTCCAAGAGGGGCTGTAAACTCTCGTCGAGGTAGCTGAACTCTTCCCTGGAAAGAAGCTATCATAAAGGTACGAAGGAAAACTACCCGCGCCAAAACCAGAGATGATTTAGGTCAGCTTACTTGGATCTCGGAGGCCGTATACTGAAAGACAGCAGCTGGTTCCAGAAGGGATCATTTGGCGTTATGGGCTCTTTGCCCACAAAGTGCTTCAAGTGCTCGTTTTTCTTCAGGTCGTGGAGAGAGCTCGTTGCGGTTCCCATCGTGCGCTACGGGTCCTGCGAATACGACACGGTGAATCTGAGCACCCTCACCATGTTCCCTTCGCAGTTTGTTGACAACACCGTTCACGGCCGCAGTAAATAGCAGACCGCTAGCATTAATTAGCAGCGGTTGCTAGAGGCGAAAAGGTCCGTTCGCGACGACTGACCGAGAGCATTGACCATCGGAGTCGTCGATTAATGCGCTGGGAATTCGAGACAGCGTTCGAGTAAGACAACAATATCGATCGTTAGTCCAGAAAAAAAGCGACGTCTTACCTCGGTCGAGAAGTCTTTTGGTGTCAGAATGGCATCAGGGAAAACTAAACATCTTCCAACTCAAACGCCCAAATCAACCAAACGAATCAACATGAAAAAGTGCCTACGCGTGGAAGCCGACGAAAGCGGTCGATTTCCGGTTCCGCTTCGCAAGCGCGTCTCGCGCCTCCAAGCGTTGAAATTATTTTTTTAATCACCGATTTGCTTCCGCGTGATCCCCGGTTGCTTCCTTGCGGGATTAGCGGAGCCGTCTTCTCCTGTTTTTCGACAGTTCCTTCGACAACATGGCTCGTCTCCTCGCATCGGCGTTCCGACTGGGAGTTTCACGTGCTTGCGTGCAACTTCCGAGCGACGCCGGCATTTCCTCCAAGCGCCTGTTCCACGTCGCTCCGAGGCTCCTGGGTCCCGAAGTTCTTAAGCCTGCGCCGGCGTTCAAAGGTAAAGCCGTCGTAGACGGTCAGTTCAAGGACATATCTCTGGCCGATTACAAAGGCAAATACCTCGTGCTCTTCTTCTACCCGCTTGACTTCACCTTCGTGTGCCCGACGGAGATCATCGCGTTCAGCGATCGCGCCGACGAGTTCCGCAAGATCAACACCGAGCTGGTCGCCGTCTCCGTCGACTCGCACTTCTCCCACCTCGCCTGGACCAACACCCCCCGCAAGCAAGGCGGGCTGGGCAAGATGAACATTCCGCTGCTCTCGGACTTCAACAAGCAGATTGCCCGGGACTACGGTGTGCTGTTGGAAGACGCCGGCCTGGCGCTCCGCGGGCTGTTTATCATCGACCCCAAGGGAGTCGTCCGACAGATCACCGTCAACGACTTGCCCGTCGGAAGATCGGTGGACGAAACGCTGAGGCTCGTCAAGGCGTTTCAGTTTGTGGAGAAGCACGGCGAAGTGTGCCCGGCCGGCTGGCAGCCGGACTCCCCCACGATCAAGCCGGACCCGAAGAACTCGCAGGAGTACTTCAGCAAAGTCAACTGAGGCGCGCCATACGTTGCCGGACAGACCGCTGGGACACCGCGGCGTGCTCTGCATTTCCGGAGGACGTTCGCACTTGCGTGTAGACGTCAATTTTTGCTGTGTTCCTTAGTCGATTCGTATTAAATTTTGTACCCTGTTCGGCAGTTGTTGTTTCTGTTGATGTGGCATGGGGGCTAACTACAGGTTTCCCCACTCAATTTAATCGGAATAAAGATAAAGTTAGTCCGAATGCCATCATATTTAATTTAAGCTATTTTTATTATCATCAATAAACTTGACCATCTGAAGTTTGCAACCCTTGGAGGCAGATGCGGGAGGACGATATGCGAATATACGCCAGCTGTAAAACCTGCGAAAACATTTTGTTGTTTTGTTTGGCAGTGAGAAACACCGGGTTGCAGGGAATGCCAAAAACGGACTTTGCGCTCACATGGTAGATCGGAAGGCAAATACACGAAATGCGCAAAAAGATAACGATAATAAATTATAGTTTTCAAAAAAGAATCCCATACGCGACGCTTTACTGCAAAAACAAGTACATAGAGATGCGTGCAATATTTCTAATTATACAAAAATAGCGCGAAGGACAGACGAAGTTGAACATATATAATAGCGCAAAAAAGACAGGGACAATAAGTATACAGGACAAGCGCTTGTCCTTATTTTATGTGTTTAACTCAGATGAACTCACTTTCCTACCGTATACAGACGAAGATTCTTAGAATCCTAAAATAAAGCATATGTGAGAATCAGCTTGCATGAGCTTGAAACTTCGCGAAATACTGCCTCGGGAGACTAATATGTTATAACCGGTTTTACGAGCATTTGTTCTGGGCCCTCACTCTACAACCCTGTGCTTAGTCAGTCATGTGCTCTAAAGGCTGAACTCCATGGGGCGAATTTGCTGCAAAAAAGTGGACGAATTTTACCAGCCGGCACTTGTTTTGCGCGTGACATCAGCACAGCGGCTGCTACGCCGCGCGCAACGCGAACGTGCAGTTGGGCGACTTTCGACAGTTATTCGCCGCAAAATTCGCTCTATGGACTTCACCCTTTACATTTCATTTTCATTAGGCTTTTCGCGTGGTTTCATAGCCTGGAGCTGGCTTCACTTGAAGAAAGGATTTAAGGTGCCGTTTTGCGCGGCTTCAAAGCTGATGACGTCGGCTCGCTCCATGGGATCCAGTTAATGCTTTCGCATTAAAAAGTGATTGAAGCAAACGACACCCTCCGTAGATGGAAAAAAAGCGGTTGCTCTCCACGTGCAAATAGTCCCCCCTGACGAGAAATCGGCTTTGAAACGTTGCGCTCCTAGCTGTTTAGGATTTGGTAGGTCTGAATTTCTGAAATACAATTTGATTACTTTGAGTTACTTTTGACACAATGGACTTTCATTCGGCCTAATTGAGATTATGACCAATGACTCATTTGTTTGCTTAGAGCTATATTCGACCAACTGATTTATTATGAACATAATTATGATTACTCTTTTGATCGCTTTGGGTTACATTGCCCTAATTGACTATTTGACAGTTGGTGACTCTTGATTATTTCGAAACAGTATACCACCAATTGATCTACTATTGCCGCGTGCATGATCGAAAATATACGCTTCTTCGTTTTTCTAGAAGGTTCAGGTAAACTTTTACCCCAGGCGTACACGATAAGGAGGCCAGAATGACCTTGCCTAGTCAGTCTCGCCTTAGCTCTTTCCCGAAATTCAAGGTCCAATATCCGAGATGACGAGCATAGTAGACAAAAAGCCGAGCGCCGTATTGCCGATTCATTCATTCACCGATTCTCTCTCGCGACAGCCAGCTGTTACGCCGACGGACCGCCGCTTGCTACATGCAGCCGCCACCGACGCTCGCAGCTGCTTCCTCGACGTCTGTTCGTTTTCTTTTTCGTTTCTGGCACAAGTATGCCCCAATTAAATAATTTTCTTTTCGTTTTCGCCTGCGTCAACGTCTGTCATTCGTGGCCCTATGAACTCAATTCATATTCTTATTACTCTTGATTACTTCGACTTACTTTTGACACAGTGAACTATAATTATGCATAATTGACATTGGGATGGCTCTTAATCAGTCGAGCTAATATTCAAAATTTTTTTTTTATTTTGACATCATTTGGCATTATGATTACTTTTTTATTACATCGGGTTGCTATTGATCCGTCCAACTTTTATTCGACCTAATTGATATTTCTGGGACTCTCTTGATTACTTCAAATCATTATACAACAAATTGATCTATTGTGAGCTCAGTTCACATTATTATTTATTACTTTGTTGATAACCTGGAGGTATTTTTGACCCACTGGACTTTAAATGGGACAATTCACATTGCAATGCCGCTTATGATTACTTCGAGATAATAGTCAATCATAATACATCAGTTGGTTGAACATTAGCTCAAAGTAACCTAAAGAGTTATCACGATGTCAATTAGGCCCAATTCAAATTCATAGGGTCAACAGTAACTCGAAGTAATAAAAAAGAGTAATAATGTGATTTGAGCTTGTAATATATCAATTGGTTTCGTAATAACTCGAAGTAATTAAGAGAATCACCAAAATGATTGTGCCGAATGAAAGTCTATTGGGTCAATAGTAACAAAAGTAGTCAAAAGAGTAACCATAACGTCAACTAACCTCATTATAAACCAATCGGTTGCACATTAGTACAAAGTAAGGAAAAGAGTCATCACAATGTCACGCAGGCCGCATTAAAGTTCCTGGGGTCTAAGGTAACCCGAAGTAATTAAAAGAGTAATATTATTGTGAATTCCACTCATAATATATCAATTGATGGTATAATTCGAAGTAAACGAAAGAGTCACTAAGATGTATATTGCGCCGCATTAAAGTCCGTTAGGTCAGTAGTAACTCAAAGTAATCAAAATAGTAATCATGTTGTCAACCAGGGTTACAATAAATAAATTGGTTGATGATTAGCTTAATGAAATCAAGTCATCAAAATGTCATCCAGGCCAAATTAAAGTCATTGGGTCAAAAGTAACCAGAAGCAATCAAGAAGTAATAATAAAGTGATTTAAGCTCATAATAGACAAATGGGTCGTATGATAACTCAAAGTAATCAGGAGAACCACCAAAATGTAAATTATGCTGAATTAAATTTCATTGGGTCGATAGAAACTCAAAGTAATCAAAAGAGTAATCATCATGTCTATTGGGCTCATAATATATCAATTTGTTAAATATTAGCTCAAAGTAATCAAAACCGGCATCACCAGGTTAATTAGGCCGAATTCAAGTCAACTGGGTCAAAAGTAACTGCAACTTATCAAGAGTAATATTAATGTGACCTGAGCTCGTAATAGATGAACTGATGGTATAGTAACATGAAGTAATCTAGAGAGTCCGAAAAATTTCAACTAGGCAAAGTAAAAGGTCTTGGGTGAATAGTAACTCAACGGAATCAAAAGAGTAGTCCTAATGTCAATTGAGCTCATAATAAATAATTTGGTAGAATATTAACTCAAAGTAATTAAAATAGCCATCACTATGTCAATTAGGCCAAATTAAAGTTTATTGGGTTAAAATTAAATCGAAGTAGTCAAAACAGTTATAATATTGTGAATTGAGCTAATAATGGATCAACCGGTTGCATAATAACTCGAAGTATTCAAGAGAGACACCATGTCAATTAGCTGACATAAAGTCTATTGAGTAAATAGGAACTCGAAGTAATCAAACTACTAATCATAGCATCAATTGAGCTCATAAAAAATCAATTGGTTGAAAATTAGCTCAAAGTATTCAAGTCATCAAGATGTCAGTTAGGCCGAATAAAACTCATTTGGGTCAATAGGAAGTTAAAGTAATAAAAAAGTGATTATAATGTTAACTGAGCTGAGAATACATCACTTGGTTGAATAAAAGCTCAAAGTGATAATTCGTGTGATGATTATGTCAATTAGTCCAATATAGAGCCATTAGGTATAATTAGTCAAAGTAATCAAGATGTCAATAATACTGATATAAACTCAGTTGTGTGACTAGAACATCGGGGAAAGATAAAAAAGTAACACTAGCTAATTTAAAGTGCATTGGGTGAATGTCACACGGATTAATCAAAGGAGTGATTTAAATCTTTGCTGAACTGATATGAAGTCGCTTTTGTCAAAAATGGTTAAAAGCAATCGACTGGATAACGAAAATTTTGCTTCTACAAATTTTTATGCCAAAATATCTGAATGACCTAGAAATAATCAGAATGTCAAACGAACTTCTGGGAAGTTTTATTTTTGTCAATTATTTCTCGAAGTTATCGAGAGTAATAAAAAGGTTTGTTGAACTTTTATCATGTAAATTGTGTTATTAATAGGTCGAAGTAATTAGAAGTGGAAGCAATTTTATGTTAGCGGTGTCAATAATAGCGGGAAGTACTAAGCAGAGTAATCACAAATTGCAAATATACTTACGCCAACTGAACTCACTCAGTAATAATTGGAAGTAATGAGAAAGAGTAAACAAAACGTCAATTCACCTAAGGTAAAGTCGAGTGCGCCACTAATAACTCGAGGCTACAAAAAGAGTAATCAACATGCCAATCACGCGACTAGTAACTCCAAGTGGTCGAATAGTGATAAAAATATCAGTAGTCCCCCCAAAAAATCGAATTGTGTAAACAAGTACTCTAATTTATCAAAAATGTAAGAAAAACACGACTACTTAAGACAAAAACGTGCATGTATATAATCTGGATTAAATTGGTTTGCCCCGGAATTAAATTCGGTACCTCTTGAATTAAATTGAATGGCGCTTGAATTAAATTGGATGACACTTGGATTAAATTGACCACCAATTGGATAAAAATTAGCGGGAAAACCTGTAGTTTTTAAAAGGTTAAAAAGCGCAACACAACAAGGACAAAAAGACACAAAGACGACAGGACGGGCGCTCTACTGCTACAGACGCATAGTGCATTTTGCCATGACAGCTATAACGGTGATTTTTGCATCACGAGGGAACTCCCCGCTCTCTCCCCCCTTCCTTTTTGTTCGGAAACTTAAATATTTATTGTTCGCGGTTTTATCAAAATCGCCTTTAGATCTGCAATCATTTGAGATACATAGCTGCGATCTATACTTGATCCGATTCAGCGAGAATCAGCTCGGTGCGCCGAACATTAATGTGGCCGCCGCGTCAGACAGAGAGTCATCACCTAAATGTGTTTCTTCCAGGTACCCCCAAATGGGTATGTAATGAGCGCTGCCACAAAAATTCCGTGCATTAGCCACGTTATGTCACACGACCGTTTTTTTTTTTTTTCTTAGGTCATGGCTGAGATTGTTGATCCAGTGTCCATCAGCAGATAAGAAAAAAAAAAAAAAAGACAAACTGTGAAAAGTCAGGCCAATAATCGATATGGTCCGAGATCGAGACGCGTGCAGGATTCATCCAAAGACCAAAGCCCCGTGTCTCGATGAGCAAATGGTGCCATTTAGCGGCAGAGTTCAGTTCCGTATCTTACGAACAAGCCTAACCCTATCGGGATCAAGATGTTCGTTCTCGCGTGACCAGCTTGCAAGGTAGTAAATTTTCCCGTTTACCTGCAGGGGAGGACAACGTTTGAGGAGAATTCCAGTCAGCCGAAATGTTGCGTCGGGGCTCAAGCCGTGCTCAAACTGCTAGAATGTTTGAAACCTGCATGCCATCTACTTCGATCGCTTCTTCACTAGCTCCCTATTACTGGACGAGCTCAAGGCCAGAGGGTTCTGTGCAACAGGCACTGTTATGCTCAAGCTCAACAGAGTATACCCCCACGAGTAAAACGTAAATTATCTTCTATCAAACAAATGTCTGAGGTGGGGCGAGGCAGTCACTTTGAGTTTATCAGAGAGGACGGCTCTTTCTCTCTCTCTCTGTTGTTAAGTGCTTAGATAGAGAGGGAGTGATCTTTATTTTATCGGTAGCTGAGCCTATTGAGCGAGCGCTGGTTAAAGTCAGATCAAGCTCAACTTATTTTCTCTCTACCAAAATTCGTCAGAATCTTCAATAAAAACATGGGCGGAGTCGATCTTTGCGACCGTCTACTGAGCCACGCAGGGCTCGGACCAACAAGTGTATCGTGAGGATCATCGTGAATGCGTGGTTCTAGTACCGCGAAGAGGGTGCTCAAACTTAGACTCCAAAGAAGGACATCTTCCAGTCTTTCGATTTCAAGCTTCAAATAGTCAAAAGGATCCTGGAGGGCAATGGTCACACCAGAGAAGATTACGATGGGGGTAGCTCTCACGGCAAAAAACACGCTACGACCGAGTTTCGTTTAAAAATGACGAGCATATGCCTGAGGTGGCTGACGTTGACCCCAAGGTCTATCCACGTTGCCGGAACCCAGGCTGCACCGCCCGTTGCAGAAATCGCTGCGCAGCGTGTAATGCATTTTCGTGTTTGCTTGCCCAGCGGAACTGCTTTGCAGCATTTCACAGGCGACAAAAACGTCCACACAAAGCTTCAACCTCAATAAGAGACTTGAGGACAGACAATCAGTTTAGTAAGGCACCAAGAGCGTTGTAGATTTGCGCGACAATAACATGTTTTTGTACAACACGAAGCTTAAGAGAAAAAGCTTGCTTGTATAAATTGAATACTGGAACCTAGTCTATACATAATACTGCACATGCAAAAACAGCTGATCTATAAATCTGATAGCTACGAAATAATTGTTTGCATCAGGCACGTAGCCAGGATTTCGTTTCGGGGGGGGGGGGGGGGGGGGGCGTGAAAAAAATGCTGTATGAGGGGTAGGCGGGAGAGGAGGTCCCAGCAAAATGGCAGATTTCGGGGGGGGGGGGGGGGGGGGCGGGCCCCATGCCCCCCCTCCCCTGGCTACGTGCCTGGTTTGCATGACTTTCGAATTTTAAATACCCACGAAATTCATACGAAGTTAAAATGTTTTCCTCCCTATTTTTTGTGTCTCATGAGGGTATCGTCGTGGCATCAGCATTCAAAAAGTTTTTTATTTTTATTTTTACCTCATATTTTTTAAGTACCTGATTAGTAGTCTTACATCATTTAAACCTGGCGGAGTGTTTTACCAAATATTTGGTTTTACCGATTAACATGGGGCTGCAGTACGCCGAAGCGACGTACACAAAATCGGCATGTCTACTTCGCGGGTGACCGCTTCGGCGCAGTGGATAGTACGCGGTGGAAAGCGCAGTCAACGGAGTTAATTAAAATGCCCGAACAGACCACAAACAATAGGAAAAATCTGGATACTACCGAGTACTGAATTGCGTTTGATACAAAGATAAAACCAAATAGCACATTATTTTAAGGGATAATCGAATGATCTGAAAATTTGAGCAAGCTTACCGTAACAATCCGGTGGTGTTGCGACGCCCGAAATATTAGTTTGCACAATGTTGGCACACATTTTTGACATTTCGGCGAAATGTATCAGAATGAATGTAGCAAGGTAAGCATTTGGGCGCAAATGGCGATAGTGCGCTTGGAATTACCAAACAGAGTCGACTGATTTCAGTTTCTTTGATTTATCTGCTGGTAGAAACCATGTTATAGTTAGGGTAAGGTGTACAATCTTCACTCCTACCCAGCTCAAAAGGTCAAGAGATCGAAGAGTTGGAAAAGGGGTAGATGGCTCAATAGGTTTTTGTATGCACAACTGCAGACTTGCCAAAGCTATCCTCACGGGAACGCTGCACGTACTTCCGGCCACCTTCGAATTTGGTTGCAAGGTTCAAGTCAAATCGCACTGCTTGACGGTTTGATTACGTTATGGGCACTTACGTCAAGGTACATACTATAGCGAGTTCCCGGGACATTCGCGCATAAAGCACGGCAATTCAAAGCTTGGCACGCGACTTACGAAGCACAGATGTCTAGGTGATTCGCAGCGACTGGCCGCCGCCATGTCTCTGCTCGAGCAGGCACGCGTGTGCGATTACCAGCTTGCCAAAGCTATGTTCACCCGCGCGTTGCACGCGCTTGCACGCATGGGGCACCACTTGTGGCGCCATGCTTGCAATTGTCTATAGTCAAGCGTAGTTAAGCCACTTTGTGGGTTGGCTTCGAAGTTTTAAGCGTTGTGTCAGATATACGATCTCTCAAGATACTTACAATCCGTGGAAAATTACAGACCGTTCACCATTCAAACTATCCAACATGTGAAGAAACGCGAAGCTACAGAACACTTACTCATTGGATGTCCTCTGAGAGAAAGATAATTCAACGGGTAGTTGTAAAAACAAATATTCAAGGTCACTCACTATTCAGAAGGTGCTCGACAGTTGCCCAGTTGACTGCCCTGTTGCAGCCAGGCACAAGGCTGGCTTGTCGGCGTTTGTAAGACAGCAGCAGCGACGCAATATTCGTTCTCCAACAGTCTCATCGCCCACCGAATTCTCCGTAGCTTTGATAGAGCTACACAAAACAGCTGTAGTTGCGTGGCGTATGATCTTTATTCACTCGAACACAAATATTGTACACGACAAGGTTTGTTGTTTTTTAATGGTTGATAATCACAAGAAGAAACACAGATCCGTACGTCGTAAAGCGGCGGCATACTTCCGAGCAAAATACGCAGCGGACGCACGCTTCAATTCGTAGATTACAATTAAGGCACGAGCTCCCGCTCCTAGTGATAGTCACACGATGACAAGACGCCGTTCGAAAACTGTTTTCTCTCTTCCCGCAGTCGCAGTGTTATTCAACCAAGTGTATGGGGAAGGTAACACAAAAGACGGGTCCTTCCGCTCCCGTTATGTTCAGCTTGGCAGTGGTGTCCAGCTGTGTGGAAGCGAAATAAGCGGTTAGTTCGACGAATTGCTGGAAACTACTTGCGCCAACTGCTAGAGTCACTGAAAGTGAAAAAAATGGAGCGCGTGGCTATGCTATGTCTATGCTCTTTTTTCACACACATACACACAAGCACACGTACAATTCATTCTCTTTTCTTTTTTGAGTTTGAGAACGAGCGTAAAAACGACTTTCTCGTATATTGATGTCTGCTTCAAGTGTATACAGTGATTGCTTTTGCTTCATAGAGTAATCGATAAAAAATATCTGAAAGTTGTGGTCGGTTTGCCTTGCTGCATACCCGACCCCGACGAATAACAGGCAGCCCACGGTTTCAATAACAAGAAACTACACTTAATTGGACAAGGACGAGACGATCAATACACTAACATCGTTACCGGCGGCGCTCGAATTCGGGCAATGACTCCCTGTGCACCGCCTCTGATCCGCCTTATCAAGGCGGCGTGCGCGTGGCCGGCTTGACACCGCCACCACGCGGGAAAGTTCGCCCGCTGCGTCATATAGTCGGGCAACTTGGCTGGGGAGCCGCCAGGGTGCCCACAAAGTCAGAGGAGCGAGACTGGGGTCACTTAGAAGTTGCGGAGTTTCCGCTCCGGAGTTGCAATGATTTAGGAATGATTCCGCCCTTCAGCGGCACTGCGGGATGGAATGAGAATGGAATAACGGAAGGACAGAGAGGAATGGAATGGGAATGAAATTAGGTGGCATTGTGCTGGGATTAGAGTAGGGATTAAATGGGCTCTGTTCTTATGTGAGCTGCGTCGATCTGGTCAAAGGGGCTTTTGAAACGACATGATTGCACCAGGTAACTGACGGCTTGATTGTCTGACCGGCCCTTCGAAGATGACAGTGGCTCCCTCAATGAAGGAACCAAAGCTGTATACGGTTATGCATTATGCAATGCAGTTGATATTCACACAATTTCTCGCACGCCCACCTCCTTATGGTCAATTCTCTCGGTGGATTTGGAGCGTTTTCAGAGCGCTTTTTTTTGTGTGTGTGTACCTACCTTCCTGGGCGTGCAAGCGAGCGCTGGCATCTATCGCACTAAAGGCACGAGCATAAAGTGCTTTCGGATCGCTTCAAATCCACCAAAGTAATTCCACATTAAAGAGCTCGCGGAGAGTCACGATCTGCAATCTACGGAGGAAACTCGGTGAACGAAGAGGCCCGGAATTAGTTTAGATGAAATAATTGAATAATGAGCCATGTGCTGCCGCAGTGAGTTATTTTGTCTGTTTTCTGAACATGACAGTTTTTCGATCGCGTCATTAACCGAAGTTTTCTTCAGATTGCAACGATGGCTTCCGCGATCTTTGCAAAAAAGGAAGGGGGCAGTTTAATGAGCGCAATATTTTAAACGGCAGCATTATATTGTTCGGGGAATGGGGAGATTACATTTTGTCAAGTAACCACCTTAAACACAATTTACACAATTTCGATTTTTTTTTTTTTGGTAATAACTATGACCATAAATAACAGCACGCTCGCGTTTTGGGGGTCCTTCCAGCGTGTGTTGTGATGTTTCCAGTTCGCGCAAACGCGGTTGGCGCTCAGGCGCAGACTTTGCACTGCCAAAGCCGTTACCAATCGATGGGGGAAGATGAGACACGTGACTAGCGTTTCTTTCCCTCACTCTTGTCTGCTCCTCTGAAACCATGCACAGCCTTGCAAAAAGAATGAAAAATCTGAATGACATAATAAGTAAACTTTTGCAAATATTACCCTCGAAACGTAAGTTATACTGCTTTTGTAAAGTGGTGAATTACAAGTGGAAATCACTGGACGCTGTAATTAAACTAGATGTGTTCATTTATTATTCAAGCATGTCAAGTATGCGCTGACTTGGTAAATGACTGATAAAGGTGTAATTGAAAATTATATTTAAAAAGAAGTATATACTGTAAACGACTTAATTTTTGCGAGGACCTAATGTTCGCGAATTTCGCGAGTCGCCTAAAAATCGCGAAAAATAGGTTCCGCGAACAATTCCGGTAAAACGTAATCACACTGAAATCTATATTGAAATCCCATCGCGTCGCGAAAATCAGAGCCCGCGAATTATTCCAAAACTTCAGCTCTGACCTAAATCGCAAAGTATTGAGCCCGCGAAAAATACGTTGTTCACACTATTCGGAAACGGAAGTGCAAGCGAATCCTTACTCTCACCGAAAATAAAATAGCTCCAAGCAGTTTGACAGCGTAGCGGGAACCTGAATGCTTTAGTCAACATCCTTATTGAAGTTTCTCTTTTCGAGTAAACTATTTGCCTGTCCTAGAGACAACGCTAGGTGTTGTCGGCAGTTTATAACGCAACGCTGACCGTACTAAGGAAACATCAAGAAAATAAGCACGTGGAGTGGTTACCTTGTGTTTTCAACACCTACAAAATGTTTGCTTACAGTGGGGAAGGACGGCTTGATTTCCAGGTTGTACTCAAAAACGTAGTCGGTGCCCTGCTCCAGGGGGCACTTGATGCCCTGGTTCCTGCAGGTGTTCCTCTTCACCGACGGAAGGACCAGCTCATTCTTGTTATCAATCACAGCACTGATCTTGGTCGACAGTTTGGCGGAGTTTTGGTCTGTTGAGAACAAGATTATTGACATACATATCTTGTCAACTTTTGCAAAAAAAAAAAAAAAAACCAGACGTTACGTTTTGTCGCAGTTTGGCATGCGTTCTATATATACAGGGTGTTTCACGAAAGGTGGACAGATTCGATATCGCGAAAACTCTTCGCGTCGCAACAAAAAAAGGCTTGTGTCGTTTTGGTCCTCTGCCAGGGGCCTATTTAGGAAAATTATTAAGGTCCGGGATATTTAGATTGTTAGCTATTTTTGCGTAATTAACTTTTTAGTATTGTGTTTAAGGGCATGGTTGCAATTAGAAAATTGCTCAGTCTCATTTAAAAACGCTAAACCAACAAATTTGTGCGGTTTTTCAGAAAGCCGTAAATTGCTTCGTGTGTTTTCTATCGTTCTGTGATTTGTTGATTTAGCGTTTTTTGATGATGCTGAGCAATTTTCTAACTGAAACCATGCCCTTAAACACATTAATAAAAGTTAATTACGAAAAAATAATTAACGATTAAATTATCCCGGACTTTAAACATTTTTCTAAATGGGCCCCTGAATTAGGACCAAAATGACACAAGCCTTTTATCGTTGCGACGCGCAGTTTTCGCAATATCGAATTTGTCCACCTTTCGTGAAACACGCTGTATATAGCCGTAATGACACACTGCCCCAAGCACCTCATTTCAATCGGCTTCCAAATACATGTACCGAGGAGTTCGTATCACGTCCGACTTCACATGGGGAAAACGCATCGATGACATAATTATACCATGCTATGCTAGGATATCCAAAGGGGAATCTTTCATCTGCCCTACCATCATTGAAAACTTGTAATACATATTAAACTCCAACATGACCTAAACTAGAGTATGCATCATCTATCTGGGGTTCTTATCAGAGCTCAGTATTTACGCCAGTGGACACCATAAAAAAACAGATCGATTCGTTTAATTTGTTTACTTATAATCAAACTGCTAGTGTTTTCATAATAAAAATCAATCCTTCTCCCCAAAATTTATTAATCCTCAAAAAAATCGCTTTATGTCTGCCGCGGTGTCAATCACCGTTATAAAGTTGGCATCCCTTATAAAAATTCCAATCAGTTTTATACTGTAAATCTCTCATACCAGTCACCTCCCTTTAGCGAAAACCCCTCCCAGCTTCTACTCGATCTTTCGACTGCTGATTATATTTTCAGGAAAGCGTTAGTTAACCCGTTAGCCCCCATTTTGCCATTAATTGTTTCTTAAATGTGCACTTATTTTCTAACCATAGTTTACCCACCCCTCCTTTGTAATGCTGAATGTCCTTAGGGTAGGTACATACATTAGACAGTTTTAGTGGACCGTACGCTAGCTTTGCGTACGCAAGGAGATTGCGGGTCGTGAGTGCGCATGCGCAGAACGCAATAGAAGGGCTAGTGTATTGCGTACGCACGCAACGCTGGGGATTTTGCGTTGCTGGCTAGAGGGCCTTGCGGGACGCTCTCGAGAGATCTCGGACCCAACGAGAGCGCCAGTTTCAAGATGGCGGTTGCCTCGACTGGCGCAGCAAGGGCGACGTGGTGTTTTCGGAGTTCTGTGTTACGTGAAATTGCGTGATGTTCAGCTCGGCGATTCTTTCTGGGACCTACAGCGGTCGAATCAGATCGCCCTGCAGCTGAAGGAGTGCACAGTTGAAATGTTCGCCGCTCGCAGTGTGCGTCGACGCTGCGATCTGCTCAACGCTAAGCCTATTCCCACAGTTCATCGCCGACGGACGAACGACTCTAAAAGAAATCGCCGAAGTTCTCGTTATGCACTGGACATCAGGGTCATGAATTTCATTCCACGATAGCATTGATAAAAGGTGCCGTTTCCACGGGACGACTGAGGAGGCTCTGTGATCGAATTTGGCTACGCACTCGTACTCGAAGCCTCTGTACCCCGCAGAAAAGCGCGCTTGACGAGGAAGCTGTGGCTTGGTTTAATCCGAAATAAAATGATTGGACACTTCTTCTTTTTCAATATTTCTTTCTAGGAGCATAGTTGCGCTATAAGCACGCGGAATTCTACGGCTCTAGCAAATTTAACCAAGGTCATGGGCGGTGTTTGCTCGAAAACGTAACGCACAACTAAATTCGGTCCGAGCAGGTCATTTTTAGCGTACGCTATACTATTGCGTATTGCGTACGTAAGATCCAGCAACGCTATACTAAAACTGTCTATTAACTGAAATGCATAAAAAAAAAAATTCCGCGTTTTTTTTTTTTTTTTCGTTTTTAATTAGTGATATGTCCCCGTGTGATGAAGTAGGTAATATGTGCGGGGTCGCAGACAGCGACCAAATCTGGTCGGCGGTGGACGATACCTCTTTCTGGAGCGAAATAAACAGGTAAGTATAAGAATCGACCTGAGTCATCTCCCTCGAGTCCTGATGTCATGTTTTTGCTTCCGAAGAAACGCTGGCGTACAAGCACCGGAAGATAGCGAGAGCCACGTGCGTCGCCACTAACCGATTTCCGACGGGCACATTCGATTTCAGAATAGCTTCACGGAGCTCATGCAGCTCCTCGGATGGCTAACTGGCAAAAGCATATTTAGGCGGGAGCGACCCTTCCCGCCTAAATATGCCCTTATAATTTCGGCCTAATAATTTCTATCTCACTTTAATATTTTATTTCATAAAAAAAAAAAAAAAAAAAAAAAAAAAAAAACGCAAAGAGAGTTTTGTTACCATCAGCGACGGCACCTTGTTTCGGAACGTTATAAGTTATAACTAATCGCCTTACTGACACCCACTCCCCTCTGTAATACCGCCAGCCTTGAGGGTATTTGAAATAAAAAATAAATGAATAAATAAATAAATAAATACACAATCGCCCCAGGGGAGGGGGTGGGGGGATCTACCTTGGGCGATTTTTTTTCTTGTCGAAATAAATACCTTGCATATAAAGAGATGGCGAATAAGGGCGAACAAATAGATATATGCAGTCAAAGTAAGATATTAGGATCCGGCATTTTTAGCATTTTTTTCTCTTGCCAATGTCTTGGCCCTTTCGATGAAATACCAAGGAGAAACGAGTTTGCCTGTTCAACAGAAAATACGCAGCGACGAAGGGTAGCACGTGACCATTCAAATGTTTCTGCAGTTGGAACTGTGGTGTACGCAATTCCAAATAAACCAAAAGGGGAAAAAATTGAAATTTTGATACATTTTGATTAGGTTGCCAAACGTCGAGGAATCTGACTGCCTTCCTAACAGAAGTTGGCTTTGTTTTGCAATTAAATGTTTTTTCCCTGCTTAAACTATGTTAAAAAAAACAAAAAAACAACAAAAACAACAACCGCCGATTGTAGTTTGATCGTGCGCCTGAAACGCTGCCCATGCGTCAAACAAAAGACCGTCTGCGAACACGGGTCACCGTAATATCCGTGGTTCGAATGCCGGGTGCCAGCTTTTTCTTTGAACGCATTTCCATGCGGCATTCGAAGCAGGGATCTCGCGGTGACTCGCGTTCGATTCTGTTTTCGTACTCTCTTTTGTATGATGCATAAGCAGTGTGACCCCGGCCGAAAGGGTCACTACATCCCCAGCATCCATGTATTTTTTATTGTCGCAAGTGAGCGAACAAGTTTACTATGAACTGCGCTAAATATTTTAGGATTGGGAACTGCGTATCTGCAAAGTACTGTGTGTGCCAATTTGATTCAAACAAATTAACTTATATATAAAAATGAAAGATGTTCAGAATGCTTTGTAATGCCGAATTAGAGCGCAACTCTTGAGGAGGAGGAGGAGGGGAGGGTACGGAGGGGAAGCTATGCTCTTCCTCCTCTTCTGCTCCCCTCCCATTTAGCGGGAAATTTTCGCGAAATTTCCCACTAAACTTAGCGGGGAAATTTTTTCGCTAAATTTAGTGGGGAATTTTTTCAGCTACAATTTCTTTTCCGCTAAATTTAGCGGGGAAAGTTTTTCGCTAAACTTAACTGGAAAATTTATCGGGAAGAGTTTTTCTCCAAATCTAGCGGAAAATGTTTTACACTAAATTTAGCGGGGAAATTGTTCCGGTAAATTTGACGGGGAATTATTTTCCGCCAGATTTAGCGGGACAATGTACACGTGACGTAGGCAGCGTCGCGCTGCGCAAGAATGTCTCTTCCGGTCAGTGAAACTCCTCGTTCGGCAGCAGAAATCGGTCCTGGACCTATACGGCTCGCCACCGCTTTTCCCGCCGAGCGTTTCGCCCCAGCGGCTAAAGCGTAGCGGATTCCTAGCGGATCCGCAAGTGTAAACGTACCATAAGAGCAGCGCTCTAAAAAAGCCGTGAAAGGTACGATAGAGTGGTCTGTTCAGGTGAGTTTTACGGACAGAGGAACATGGGTTACGAGGGGCTAATCGTCACGAGAAGACAACTAATGGGCTAGATTGGCAGTTAACTTAATTGGTGAAAATAAACATACGGTTTATATTACAAAATTTGGTACACTTCATGTAAAATATCTAAGTTAGTTAATTTTAGAAGGATTCGATGCAGGTGGTAAGTGCGCGGGTACGCTAAATTGCTCACTCCTGCGACAGGCACAACGCTGGCAGTCCGAAAACGCGTTTTTGGACAAGTCGTGTAAGCTATAAAGCAAGTCGAATGACTTATAAAACGTTTCCTCAAATACAATGTAAAGTTATATTCGAGAGACAGTCGGCTACCGACTTCACACAACGCTCCGCGCTTACGAGATCCGGGCCTCTGCAGACAAGGCTATCGCGTCGCGCACGCGCAGCAGCGGCGTCTCCGTAGCGGGGACCGTAGCGGACGGAGAAAAACGGTCTACGAAAACGTCCTGTTACCGCGTGAGTGCCCAAACTTTTCGGTAGAAATTGATACAAAATATGCCCTTACAGCTCGCGTGTGCGCCAACCGCAGCCGCTCTTTCAGCCTGCACTATCCATGCCGTATCTGACAAAAATCACTATTAGTTCGTGACAATATACCCCCCAAAAATCGTAACAATAACCAATTTCGTCCGTCGTTACCAGAGTCAGAACTTCGTTTCACCAAACGATGAGCCGCGGATGTGACGAGCCATGCAAACCAGTCCAATGCCGTATGCGTGATACGTGACCTCCAAAAGTAGTGCAGCGACAAGCGGGGCACGTAGCCTCGTGTTACTTTGGTTGGCTGGGATGGCTTCAAGCGTCCGCCGTGTCAAGTGCAAGATAAAACGGACTTCGGCAACCGCGGACGGTTAAATGCCATAGGGCTAAATGTTAAATTAAATAATTTAACACTTTTTAATTCGCCTGTGGATCATTCTTGTGTCCTTTAATTTCGACATTTTTGTTTCTGGCGTTTGAAGCTCGCGGATTAAATCAAACTGCCATTCATCTTGAAAACGCAGTGACCACGTTCGCTTCAGTAAAAGAACTGCTGGTACTGCTGCATGGTAAACAGTAGCAGCCGCGACGAAGGTAACACAGAGAAGGGTACAGACAACAACAACGTTCGCTTACTTGCTTTGAAGGAGACCTTTATCTTAACAGTCTCTCCTTTTTTTACGGTGCAGGGTTCGGCAGGGCATGGCTGCAGCTCGACTTGTTCAGTGTCTCCTCCTGCAACAGCCGAAAGAACGCGAATAAACGCAACGAGAGACTTACGTTCGAAACAGCTCATAAGTAGTGGCCTGAGTTTTACGTGTATATTTTGGGTGGGAGTTTGGAGGTTTCAGAAAAGCTTTTTATTTAGGATCTTCAGAGTATTCCAGACTTTCAGTTCGTTGACATGCGACTCTAACTTTTTATTCGGAAGTATATTTTGAGTTTTCAAGCTCACGCACCACTTTTGAAGCTCTCAAACTCTGTCGTTATTAAGCTGTCTAGACATACTGACTGGTAAACAAATATAAATACCAATAAAACGATACATGATAAACCAATAGCACTTTCATCTCTGTTTTTTTTTCTTTTCAGGTTCTTATCATCTATCTCCTGGTGTTTTAGCAGTGTTTTCGAAGACCGTCACAGGGTTTGACGATATTTTAGGAATTTGCAGTTTTAATCACTCGATGATTGTTTGTTCCTCGTTGTGACTGAAACAGTTCCTTGCTGTGGCAGCTAGACGCGGCGGAATTCTAGGGGATCACTGAGTCGATAAAACAGTGATCTTGCATGTGCCTCGACGCTCCTAGGCAGTAGTTAAGTTATAGAAACATCAACCAAGGATTTTTATGGGAAAGAAATAGCTGTTCCGAAGTCTCAGTTCCAAAAATTAATGTTGTACTTAATTGGAAAAATAATTATCGTCAAGCCTGCATAATATTTTATGATCTGTTTAAAGGCTAAACACTATATAGCAAGTGCTACTGGCTTTAGTTGAGTTACTTGGCGCGTGTTGGTAATGTCTTTTGTCCTTTCTAGATTTGTTTCTGTAAGTTCAATTTGACCTATCCCAAAGGCAAGTGGATGGTAATTATGGTCAGGACAGGTCAGCGTATCAGATGTTTGAGAATCTTTCCACCACCTTTTCCCCGCCCTAAAATTTTACAGAGGCGATATTTAAAGGAGTGTGCGTTTGTGTGTGTGTGGGGGGGGGGGGGGGGGGGGGGGGGAGGGGTGGCATTCGGGAGCCCTTTTTTAAAATCCCCCACTGATTATATTCACGAAGATCCGGGAGCTGCAGAAAGTGTCACTGTTCGATGACCGTAATAAATGAGAACGACAGCGTGCCATTTCAGTCGTACCGAAGGCGAAGAAAAAAAAAAATCCTAACTAAAACTTAACAAACGTGACAGCTAAACTTGCACATCCCGAATGAAAAAACCAAAAACAACATGTGCACTCAATATCGCATTGAATATCTCTCCACCCTGGTTCAAAAATTCTCTAAAACGTATGTTGCAAAAAAAGAAGAGGTTGTTCCAGAAAGCAAAAAGAACTAACAGAGACGATGATTGGTCCGCACAAAGACTTTGGTCAAAAAACATAAAAAAAAAAAAAAAAATTATTAAAGCAAAAAAAAAAGTTTTTTTTTAAAAGACGAATTGCTACATGTGTTAAGGACCGATCCTCGTAAGTTCTGGAAAATCTTAAATCCCGGTGAAACTCGAAGTCATTGCTTGTTCACAAAACAAGAGGGTAACTGCCTGTCTCATAGCGACGCGGGAGACGTTGAATAGCTTCTTCTCGAAAGGATCGAAGCTTGAGAGAGTTGGTGAACCATATTCTACGGTGACAGCGCAGAGGAACAATCACAGACCAGATACTCAGAAAGACAAAAATTGGGTTGTGTGTATGTTTATACAGCCGAGAACTTGGTCTGCCTCACAGGGGCGACGAGTCTCCCAGCTGTAGATGAGCAGTTTAGCCAGTGCAGTACAACCGCTAGCCTGGGGTCAACTGCACGCGCTGACTGCGTGTGCTTGTCTTTCTGAGTATCTGCTGTGTGATTGTTCCTCTGCGCTGTCACCGTAGAGCTTTTTCTCGACTGTATTCGGTCAAGAACCATTCCCCTTTCCTTCGCCACCGGAGTTTCAATTTTTACCCATGTCTCCCATTTTATTCAAAAGTAACGGCATCACGGTAACGGTATCCCGTCTCGCTGCGCCGCCGGCGATGATGTCATATCTTCAAAGGTACTAAAAATGTTAAAGCCCTGGCCTCGGCCTTCTTATTTCTGCTTTTTCAGCCAAGTCTTGACACTGGCACACTTCCAACTTACTGGGGTTTTGCTACCGTCCAACCAATTCTCAAATCTGGCATGAAGTCCGACCCCTCCAATTATCGGCTATCTACCACATAAGCGTTCCATGAAAGGTATTGGAGCACGCCATTTAGACAGCTATTATGTCCAACCTTGACGGCTATGACGTCCTTTTTTTTTCGAGTCAGGACGGCTTCCCGCAAGACTACTCATGTAATACTGAACTACGTGAGTTATTCACGAATTTGCACTTTAACACCCATGCGGGCACGCACGCAGACTAATGTTATCTTCATCGACTTTGCAAATGCATTTGACGCAGTTCCGCATGGTCACCTACTTTTAAAATTGCCCCATCTTCAAATAGTCCCATCTATCGTAGAATTGATTCCAGCATTTTTACGTGGTTGAGCCCAATCAGTAAGGTTAAATAATACCCTTTCCTCAAAATATCTGTGATATCAGGCGTTCCTCAGAGTAGAGTAATTTGTACTCTCTCGTTTCTCATTTATATGAATGACCTTCCATTCTCCTTAACATCTCCAATCAAATTGTTGACAGACGGTTGTGTCATATACCTAAAAATAACTAGTACAGATGATAGTCGCGCTCTGCAAACTGACCTTGACACAATTAGTAGTTGGTGCTTAAAATGGCAGCTAACATTAACATAAGCAAATGCCGGCTAATGAGAGTTGCCAATAAAACTAATTTGATATTTACCCAGTCCAGTACAGCCTCCTCTCTTTTGAACTAGAAGTTGCCCCGTCCTATAAATATCTAGGTGTTAATTTCAAGTCCAGCTTAACTTGGAACGAGCACATTGAGAACATCATATTAAACGCATTAAGAAAACTCAGTTTTCTGGAACGTACACTGTGCCAGGCACCCCAAGAAACATGCCCGCTTGCCTTTAAGACTATAATTCTACCAAAACTATAATATTCAGAAATAATCTGGAACCTGAACCAAAATTGAAAACTTTCGAAGCCTTACGAAATAAAGCCGCCCACTTTATTTCTGAAAAATACTTTTATCAAACCAGCGCCACGAGTTTAAAACAGAATCTGGGTATGTCTTCTACGGAGATAAGAAGGAAGAGTTTGCACTTGTGATTTTTTTTAAACAATTTATTACAGTGACTACTTTCAGACAAACGTTCTGTAGGCTTGCAACCAATATTTTGGCCCGATGGGATAACACCCAGAAAGCGGAACCTTTCGCCATCGCGAGCTAATCTATTCCTCTCTTCTCCGTTAGTTTTGTGTATTTCATATTGGAACGCGCTCCCAAACTCTGTGGCAACAAAACGTGACGTGTTGTATGGAAATAAATGTGACGATCTATTGTTGAATTAGTTCCAAGATGATAATCTGTTTCGGCTTGAACGTGCTCGACATTGTGTACATGACTTGAGTCATTCAAGGGTACTTCTGATCTTGTTCTTTATTGTTTTATCGATTTTTGAACCTAAAGTTTTATATGTATTGTGCTTTTGTGTGATATTTTTTAAATCCTCGCTCATGTAATACGTTCGAAAGGGTGGCTTTGAGCAACAATAAATGAAATGAAATGCCGCCCGTATGCATACCATTTGAAGGACCCATATAAAGAAAAATGTAAAAACATGGTAGTTTTATTAGTGGAACACACCATTTTACTAGTTAAAGAAAATCACCCTTGGTTTATATCCGTATTATAATCATGAAACATAAAAACACCTCTCAGCGCTGTGCGCCACATTTATTTAATTAAGATGTCGCTAATTGTAAACTTATTAAAATTATAGGTTGAAGAAAGAAAAACCTTCATGTGCAGTCCGACAGGGAAAGTATGAGGACAACCATGACCAAACATCAAATTGACCTCTGCGTTCCTCGTTAAAAAAAATGCTTATATGGTTGTTTCAAATGCTATTAGGTGATATAGGTCGTATCGGTGCGTGTGTTTTTTTTCCTCAATAGTTACGAATTCCACGAACTACTAAATGATAATCGATTCGAAATTAATTCACGCACTCCATGTCGTTTAGTTACTGTAGTAGGAGGCGGGATCTTCATTCTCGATATATTATTTTAAACATGAAAAATTACAATTTAACTTTTTTTCTCATATTCAGAAAGCTTGCCGGCTTTATTTGTAGTACAACCCAATACCTTATCGAGAAGTAGCTTCATTTCATCAAAGCCGCTGCGTTTAACGTTATCATCCTCAAGAGTATGGGACATATCGCACCTCAGAAAAATGATGTAAAAATGGGTCTAAGCCGAACAGCTGAAAACATCGTTATATTACCTGCAAAGCATTGAGGTGCTTGTAAGACAATATATATAAATACTAATTGAAATCTCAGGAACCTAAACTTTGTATTCCTATGCCCGCTTTTTTTTTTTCATAAGCTTTATGAGCAGTTTTTTTTTATTAGTTTAGAACCTATTCACTATATCGATGAAATTGGTTAGAGTCTAAAAAGTACCTTTCCTTATTACTTACCTGTAATCAGGCGAAGTTCCGCCGAAAGATAAAATTAAGATAAGATTTAAGATAAAAAAGAACAGTAACATTCCCGAGAATTGTAATAGCGTGGGACTCATAGCACGCATCTGAATTAGAAATGTAATGTAAACAAGAACAACAACAACAACTGGATATGTCGGAATCTTACCCATTGTTAAAACATGACATCCAAATGTGGCTCATAGATTAGACACCATCAGCGCATCATACCGAGGTACGCGTTCGTACACACTCAATGCTTGAGTGAATATTCGGGTTAGGGTTGGCGATTAATGAATTCGTGACAAAAATAAGTGAACTACAACAATGTTCGGGGCGAGGTATTCTTTGTGACTCATGGGAACATAGCTGCGATGAACATCGGCAGCACAAACTGGCGTCACAACATTAGACTGCTCGGCCTTCCGTGTGTCCAGAAGGCTAGCGCTGCTCCAAGTTACTTTGTTTTTCTCCCCAAC